CCAAAACAAGTTATATAAACCAAAACAAGTTATATAAACCAAAACAAGTTATATAAACCGAAATAAGTTACATAAACTTGTTTATAATAAAAAGGACATTTTATCTGGCAATCTTATCCCAATGATTTGTCATAAACATCTGCTTGTGAACGACTGCAGCATGTCTGTATTTAACTTGGTAACCCTCCAGGTCTACGAGATAGAAAGCAATATTGCCAGATAAAAAGGATTTTTTTATTTTTTTCTCCCCGTCTACAAACTTGTATCCTTAGAGTTCCGTTTACAAGTTTCCCTCTTCAGTCGTCAATATGTCATGCATGAAGTCTTCTGACTTATTAATAGAACCTATAGGGCGAGGGTCAGAGGTCACGGACCATTTATTTTATCCTACAGAAAGCATGTCCGACAAATAGGCCTACACCCATGTAATGAGACAAATTATTCAAATCAATTCACCATGTTGTTACAACTGCCTGAAATAAAGCTATTCACCAGGAATGTCGTAAAACCTCGGCTGATATAAACACTCATTGTTTCTTACAGCTTTCGATCTGTTGTTCTTTGTTTCACCCCAAACATGATAGCGCCGCAACTTATTGATATTTTATTGATATTTGATCATTTGATTCTGTTTTCTAATCCATGGCCCGCCTGGCCAGGTTTTTAAAAGTCTTTCATCTCGTGTTGCCTGGTTTAATGTCCGCCATTGGGACGGTAACGGCAATAAAAATCTGCCGTGAAGCCGGCGTGGACCACGTGACTGGTGTTGTGGCAACCGGTTGACCACGGGGCGCCGTGTGTTGTTCCTAGGCCCAACCCTACGCCCCACGCCTCCTACCTAACTCACCCTCCACACCTCCTACCCAACCTCCCACCCTACGCCCCACCCACCCAAACTTCCTACCCAACCCCACCCTACACACCTCCTACCCAACCCCACCCTACACACCTCCTACCCAACCCCACCCTACACACCTCCTACCCAACCTCCCACCCTACGCCCCACCCACCCAAACTTCCTACCCAACCCCACCCTACACACCTCCTACCCAACCCCACCCTACACACCTCCTACCCAACCCCACCCTACACACCTCCTACCCAACCTCCCATCCTACGCCCCACCCACCCAAACTTCCTACCCAACCCCACCGTACACACCACCTACCCAACCCCACCTTACGCCCTACCCTACACAACTCCAACCCAACCCCACCCTCCACACCTCCTACCCAACCCCACCCTCCACACCTCCCACCCAAACCAACCCTACTCCCAACCCCCCACGCCTCATACCTAACCCCACCCCCACACCTCCTACCCAAACCCACCCTACACACCTCACACCCAACCCCACCCACCACTCCTCGCTCTCCACCCTCCACCCCACTCTAGCCACCACTACATAGCTATGATTGGATCAGGTTTCTGAACGGGGACTAAAACCCGCTGGTGACAGAGGGTAGGGTGGGGGTTTTAACGATTTAATGGACACAATCATTATCAGCCTGTTCTGTACACAATCACTATCAGTCTGTTCTGTACACAATCATAATCAGTCTGTTCTGTACACAATCATTATCAGCCTGTTGTTCTGTACACAATCATTATCAGTCTGTTATGTACACAATCATTATCAGTCTGTTATGTACACAATCATTATCAGTCTGTTATGTACACAATCATTATCAGTCTATTGTTCTGCACACAATCATCATCAGTATAATTAATGTACTGAATTATTGACATCCTGTTGTCATATACACAATCACCGTCAGTCTGTTGCTAGTCAGGTGCTGACTGTCGTGTATAGCCGATTGTTTTCCTCTGTTGTCAATCACTGACTGTTATAGTCAGCCAATGACTGATTGCTGAAGTCATTGAAGTCATTGATGGCTTGCTCAAGTCATTTATTGCCGTGAGACTACCGCCCTAACACCGGTTCTATTGTTTGTTTTATCGTGTAATCCACGCACCACGAAACTCTTTAAACCCTACTGCAACTACTCCACTCCACTACCGCACTCCACTGTTCCACCACACATAAACACTTCCACTCCACTCTATACCTTCCACGCTCCCCCGCCTCGCCTAAATAACCCGACACCTTCCACCCCCCACCCCCCTTCCCCTATTCCTCATGTAACTGCCCCTAATGATTTTTTTTCGTCCCATGAAAAATGTCGCCGAGGCTTACAGCTATTGTCTTAGGGCATTGACGTTGTCGGCTGTTGTAGGTACTAATGATGTTGTGGTAGACTGTCTCGGTACTAATGATGTTGTCTACTGTCTTGGTACTAATGATGTTGTGGTAGACTGTCTCGGTACTAATAATGTTGTGTACTGTCTTGGTACTAATGATGTTGTTGTCTACTGTCTCGGTACTAATAATGTTGTGTACTGTCTTGGTACTAATGATGTTGTTGTCTACTGTCTTGGTACAAATGTTGTTGTCTATTGTCTTGGTACTAATGATGTTGTTGTCTACTGTCTTGTTACTAATGATGTTGTTGTCTACTGACTTGGTACTAATGTTGTTGTCTACTGTCTTGGTACTAATGTTGTTGTCTACTGTCTTGTTACTAATGATGTTGTTGTCTACTGTCTTGGTACTAATGTTGTTGTCTACTGTCCTGGTACAAATGTTGTTGTCTACTGTCTTGGTACTAATGATGTTGTTGTCTACTGTCTTGGTACTAATGTTGTTGTCTACTGTCTTGGTACAAATGTTGTTGTCTACTGTCATTGTACTAATGATGTTGTTGTCTACTGTCTTGGAACTAATGTTGTTGTCTACTGTCTTGGTACAAATGTTGTTGTCTACTGTCTTGGTACTAATGATGATGTTGTCTATTGTCTTGTTACTAATGATGTTGTTGTCTACTGACTTGGTACTAATGATGTTGTCTACTGTCTTGGTACAAATGTTGTTGTCTACTGTCTTGGTACTAATGATGTTGTTGTCTACTGTCTTGGTACTAATGATGTTGTTGTCTACTGTCTTGTTACTAATGATGTTGTTGTCTACTGTCTTGGTACTAATGATGTTGTTGTCTACTGTCTTGGTACTAATGTTGTTGTCTACTGTCTTGGTACTAATGATGTTGTTGTATACTGTCTTGTTAGTAATGATGTTGTTGTCTACTGTCTTGGTACTAATGTTGTTGTCTACTGTCTTGGTACTAATGATGTTGTTGTCTACTGTCTTGGTACTAATGTTGTTGTCTACTGTCTTGGTACTAATGATGTTGTTGTCTACTGTCTTGTTACTAATGATGTTGTTGTCTACTGTCTTGGTACAAATGACGTTGTCTACTGTCTTGGTACTAATGATGTTGTTGTCTACTGTCTTGGTACTAATGATGTTGTTGTCTACTGTCTTGGTACTAATGATGTTGTTGTCTACTGTCTTGTTACTAATGATGTTGTTGTCTACTGTCTTGTTACTAATGATGTTGTTGTCTACTGTCTTGGTACTAATGATGTTGTTGTCTACTGTCTTGGTACTAATGATGTTGTTGTCTACTGTCTTGTTACTAATGTTGTTGTCTACTGTCTTGGTACAAATGTTGTTGTCTACTGTCTTGGTACTAATGATGTTGTTGTCTACTGTCTTGTTACTAATGATGTTGTTGTCTACTGTCTTGTTACTAATGATGTTGTTGTCTACTGTCTTGGTACTATTGATGTTGTTGTCTACTGTCTTGGTACTAATGATGTTGTTGTCTACTGTCTTGTTACTAATGATGTTGTTGTCTACTGTCTTGGTACAAATGACGTTGTCTACTGTCTTGGTACTAATGATGTTGTTGTGTACTGTCTTGTTACTAATGATGTTGTTGTCTACTGTCTTGGTACAAATGACGTTGTCTACTGTCTTGGTATTAGCGATGTGTTTGTTTGAATTTGGTTAGTTCATGAGTCAAGTTCACTCGCATTCATTACGTTCATTAAATTATACAAATTTACATAAATTAATTTATTAAAAACAATCTTGAGCAGGTCCAACTATTACAAACATGCCAACTGATCTGCCCACTATCTGCCCGCAATCTGCTATTTTTCAGTATATCTGCCACCTACTAGTTTATTTGCCCACTCTGCCCATACTACAAAACTATCTGCCCACTTAACAGCACGGAACAGACGTTCTGCCCACTCTATGCTAGCTACAAGACTTTATGCCCACTCTATACCAGCTACAAGACTATCTGCCCCCCCCCCCCCACCCTGCCCCACCTCCCAGTTTACCTGCCCCCCCCCCCCCCCCCCGTCCCAGCTACCGTGTCTTTAAACTATCGACCGCCTGCAGTGGCACCAAATTTCTGCTCTAGTTCCGGCACCGTTAGATCGCCTGGAGATCTGGCAGACGTCAGAGAGGCTCTGTGTCTGCTGTGTACGGGCTGATCTGTCTGTATCAAAGTGGGCGGGGCCAGGAGATAAGAAAAGAAACGTAAAATAATAAAGTGTTTGTTGGGGATTGTTGATTGTAGGGTGTTGGCATAATTAAGTACCGTATGCTAGGGAGCGTTCATTGTTGGGTGTTGGCATAATTAAATACTCTATGCTAGGGAGCGTTCATTGTTGGGTTTCAGCTATAATAGTGTGTGCAAGGGAGCGTTCATTGTTGTAGGTTGGTTTGTATGTTGGGCGGCGTATATTTTTGTATAATTTTTTTTTCGTCTAAATAAGTAAAGTATACTAGAAGAGCTTGCTTCATCACAGATTTTAGTTTGAATTTTAGAACTTAGAAGTTGGACATTATGGATTAGAATAGTTTGCTGGGCAGCTGGACTTCGTTTCGTTGTCATTACATGCAACTTTTCAAATAACGGAACCGTGAGGACACACCTGTATCAGGTGCTGGGACAGGTGTAATGACGTGTCGCACCTGGGTACGGGGAAATTAAAACAGTAGACCCGAGCTAGTGCCAGTTAAGATTGTGTCATTGGCCAGGTTTTCGGTTGACGTGTGCTTGACATTGGTGGCATAACAAGACCGATCTAAAAGATCTTTTATGATCTACTTGTGTCGCGGCCAAACGTGGCTTTCAAAACGAGGCTTGCGGATTTCTGTGTCGTCTGCTGTTTACTAGACTCGGAAATCCAACACACATTTACTGCACTTAGCTGACAGGAGATTGGAGCTTTGACAAATGACCGGTAGTTTACACGCTGGGGAAACTTGTATCCACTGGATGAGATAAGCAACATATCCACTGGATTAAATAATCCGTGCGTCGACTGACTTCGCATGTCCTGTTTTCATGTGGATCCATTTCTTATAATCTGAGTTTAAGCTTAATCTAAAGTTTGTCTTGCTTTTAAAGTTAGCGTTCAGGTATGTCTAGGTTTGATTCATCGATTTGTCGTGTTTGAAACTTGTCTAGGTTTGATTCATCGATTTGTCGTGTTTGAAGCTTGACTCCGTAAAACGTTAGGCATGACTGGCCTGTGGCAGGGCTTTGATCTTAGACGGGGGTCTGTGGCAGGCAGTCTCAGACAGGCGTCAGGTAATGTCTGTCTTACACTGGCGTCAAGTTATGTCTGTCTTAGACTGGCGTCACGTGTTGTCTGTGTGACATCATTACTGATTCGATCGGCATAAGGATGTGTACGTGTAATTTGTGTACTGTTAAAACTCTGACGTTTACTTTTATTTACGATTCTCGGTGTATGGAATATCTTCTTTGGAGTATTTAATCGTGTGGCTATATTTCCCTCAAGATGATGCAATTTTATATATATATATATATATATATATATATATATATATATATATATATATATATATATATATATATATATATATATATATATATATATATATATATATATATATATATATATATACATATACATATACATATATACCCGTACGTTCACGACTCTGCTATAAGCTAATAATAATTTTCAAATAGTTAGAGACATGTATCATTTTGCCGTAGATTCCCGCAGGCTTTAGGCCGTAGATTCCCGCAGGTTTAAAGCCTACACCTGCTAATCGCTGCTATTGATTTTTCTCCCCCGTAGACCGACGGGTCTGTGTACACAGTAACCTGACACTATGACCCCTGACCCCGACCAAAATATCCCCTCACCTCTGCCTCTCGGCGACAGAAATACATTTGTGACTTGACCGCGCTTGACTGGATGTGACGTCACTTGACTGGATTCAGTGCCGTTGTGGAGTGTGTCTATGACTTCAGTGAACCGGAAACGTGTTGGGGGGGGGGGGGTGTGACAGCCGACACCGTGACCACATGTGTTGACTAGCGTCTTGGTGATCGCCTAATTGGTCGTCTGCTGTGGTGATCGCCTAATTGGTCGTCTGCTGTGGTGATCGCCTAATTGGTCGTCTGCTGTGGTGATCGCCTAATTGGTCGTCTGCTGTGGTGATCGCCTAATTGGTCGTCTGCTGTGGTGATCGCCTAATCGGTCGTCTGCTTGTTGTTCTTGTACCATCCGTCACGTCTGTAGAGTTGGATCCTTACATTAGATGTATTTGTATTTATCCATTTCCTGGATCACTTTATAACAGTGGATTTCTGTTTCATCAGTTTACTGGATAATTAGATAATTAGATTTTTAGATTGTAATCCATTTACTGGATATATTCCATCCGCATTATATATCAATATATCAAGTTTTTGTCATGTTTGTGCTTTACGGAATATAACAGAAACCTGTAGACATCTGGCTATACCGACTGTGTTACTGTGCTTAAACAACAGCAACAAATGTATTTATGTGCGATCTAAAACAACAGCAACAAATGTATTTATGTGCGATCTAAAACAACAGCAAGAAATGTATTTATGTGCGATCTAGAACAACAACAAAAAGTTTGCCGGACAAATGAACGGATCAAACATGATTAAGTGCCCACAGTAAACATGGATTAAGCGCACTACAATGCCGGCCACCGAAGTCCTTAGGCCGAAACGAGTGCCAGACCCTGGCGGTCACGTGACCTTGGAGAAGTTGCCAGAAAGTAAGAGAAAAGGCCGGAGAAAAGGGATGAAACCGGAAGTGGATAAAGTGGAGAGGACGAGGGAGAAAACCAATCTTAAGAAGAGCAGACTTGCTATCCTCAAACTGTCAAAAATAGCAGGCCCTGAGAGGGTCCAGCAGCTCATTAAGGTAATTATTTAATTAGCGTTGGACTCTGGTCAATGGTCAGCGTTCTGTTGGTCAACTCTACACTAGTCTACATGCATTGATTATGTATAGCCTCATCCCTCCTTACCTTTCCCGACCCCTAAAACATTTTCCCCCACCCCTTCCCCACCGACCCTCGGCCACATGTTTCACCTACCATTGTACTAGGCCTATAGTTAAAAAACAAATGTTTCAATGAAACCTACTGTTATTCAAGACAAAGCATTACTCGTTCGGTATGTGTATTGATTATTTAATTGTATCTTAATTTAATGTCCTGCCGATGTATAATTTATTTTTATAACAAAGTTAATTCAATGTCCTACCGATGTATAATTTATTTTTGTAACAAAGTTAAGTCAGGCTCATCTGCCGTCTAGTCTACCGTGGCTGACGTCACACAATTTGTATACACTCTCGTCTGCTAACATCGTTTCTGTTGAAACAATCACTCGACACAATAAACTTTACCACACTCGACAGAACATAAACTTTATCACACACAAAATAAAAATTTAAAAAAATACCAAACACAAAGATATTCCATCTACAAAAAAAAACACGATTCCATTAGACAGGTTCAATCAATCTATCGGCGAAAGATGTGACTTTAATGCCAGTAAAATGTTTTTGTTACACTCTGAAGCCCGCTGTGCCTCTCTGAATGCTAATGAAATATTGAGGAGTTGTTCTACAGTCCATATTGTTGTAACGAAGCCTGAACATGACAACTTTATTGATCTACAACTTTACGACCTCCCACCAACCTTTGTGATGTTGTTCGTTTTATTTTTACCTAACATTCACAAACTTCAACAGACCAAGCAGTCATGTTACCACCCCACCCACACAATGCCACACAATCCCACACACACTCCCCACCCACACCACGATCCAAGATTCGACGTAAAAATGGGTGTTCAATTATTTAAATAATCACGTCCTACACAATCAACACAATCACGTGACTGTCCAGGTCTATCCACACAAACACGTGACTGTCCAGGTCTATCCACACAATCACGTGACTGTCCAGGTCTATCCACACAATCACGTGACTGTCCAGGTCTATCCACACAATCACGTGATTGTCCAGGTCTATCCACACAATCACGTGACTGTCCAGGTCTATCCACACAATCACGTGACTGTCCAGGTCTATCCACACAATCACGTGACTGTCCAGGTCTATCCACACAATCATGCGATTGTCCAGGTCTATCCACACAATCTCGTGACTGTCCAGGTCTATCCACACAATCACGTGACTGTCCAGGTCTATCCACACAATCATGCGATTGTCCAGATCTATCACCTAAAGCACGAGACAGTCCTACCCGTCCGTCCGGGATTCGAACCCTCACCTTCAAGTAAACCTGGGATCGTTATTCCACTCGACTACGAGGCGAATTCATCAAATTTCTGGCGACATCGTAAACTTCAATTAATGACCCCGTGACTCAATCGAAGGTCCGGTGACCAATCAATGGAAGTGACATCTTTATGGGGTCATTAATGAGCGGGGAGCTCAGCCAAGGACCCTAATCAATAGGCCAGTACATAAAACTGTCCCCATTATTTTATAGAGTCGCTGTAGGCTTCACTGGCGCCTACCTTTGTTCTATAGAACATACGGCTTGGTTTAACGGTTGTTCTACAGAACATACGGCTTGGTTTAACGGTTGTTCTACAGAACATCGATGGCTTGGTTTAACGGTTGTTCTACAGAACATCGATGGCTTGGGTTAACGGTTGTTCTACAGAACATCGATGGCTTGGTTTAACGGTTGTTCTACAGAACATACGGCTTGGTTTAACGGTTGTTCTACAGAACATCGATGGCTTGGTTTAACGGTTGTTCTACAGAACATCGATGGCTTGGTTTAACGGTTGTTCTACAGAACATCGATGGCTTGGGGTTAACAATTGTTCTATAGAACATTGGTGGCTATGGTTTAAAATTTCTTCTATAGAAATTCGTAGCTATGGGTTAACAATTGTTCCATATAACAGTGGTGGGTAATAGTGGTGGCTAACGGTTGTTCTACAAAACTTTCGTGGTTTGGGTTACCAAATTTTCTATAGAGTATTGGTGGCTTGGTTTAACTGTTGTTCAATAGAACATCGGTGACTTAATATAAGTTGTTCTATAGAACATTGTCTGCTTGAGTTAACTGTTGCTCTATAGAACTTTTCGTGGTCTGGTGAACTATTGTTCTACAGAAGCTACATCTCTACACTCAGCACTCTGCCCACCGAACCAGAAAACTGTGGGTAAAAATGTAAGAGGTTTTATTTTTAACGCTTGGGAGAACACAACGTTCAGACACAGGTGACTAAATAAAGGTGTGGTAAAAGATATAAATAAAAACAAGAAACCATAGTTGAAATAATTCTAGAACAGTCCACGAACCGAGTGACATGTTGACGGCTTACATTCTTCTATCCAGGAACACATCTTGTACACCTTACACTCCCCCTTTTATACCCTTCATTCTCTCCCCTAACTTCAACAAAAAGCCTGGGAAAACATGATTAATCGCACACACACAGTCCTTCGTTGGCCAGGTATGCTTCTTCCGTACAAAGTACATGCTAAATACAATATAGATACAAAATGCCAAAAGTACAGTCTGTTACACATCCAACTAAGTCAACTTTAATGTCATATTGCATTGTCATTGGGTCTTGACCCACGTGCCAAATTTCAAAGAAATTAATCCGTTTGAAGTGCCTGAAATTTCGCTCTCCCGTTTCGATCTAGACAGACATGATTAAGACAGCCAGAGGAAGCAAGTTAAATAAAAGCTTGTAGAAACAGATGAAATCTGTTTTACAGAACTAATTAGTTCCATGGAACATGTTTTGTTTGGGAAAAGGTTTCAGTTATTTGAATAGAAGTGAACGCCACTGTCGTTGATTTACTCGTAACATGCTACGTTATGGTCATGTATGGGTTAGCCTAGGAACTGGCAAGGATTAGTCCTACGACCATCGGATAAGATCCTCTAGATGAGGACATTTAGATGAGATCCTCAGATCAGCACTTCGACCAACATTACAACGTCACAAATAGCGTTGAAATGTTCGAAAGACAAAGTGAGAAAAAATATTGTTTGCTGCATCATTAGGAGTTGCTATTGTTTTTAGTCATTAACGAGACTAATTATTGCGACTAATGAGCCTAATTAGTGAGTCTAGTGAGATCAATTAGTGAGTCGCCCCAGCAGGCAGACTCCACTAGTTTCCTCACACCTGCCTTCACCTGAAGATCGAATGGTATCGACAAAACGATCCGATTGATTTTGACGAGGAGAAATCGAGTAATGATCAGGGGGTCATTTGATCAGGGGGTCATTTGATCAGGGGGTCATTTGATCAGGGGGTCATTTGATCAGGAGGTCATTTGATCAGGGGGTCATTTGGTCAGGGGGTCATTTGATCAGGGGGTCATTTGATCAGGGGGTCATTTGATCAGGGGGTCATTTGATCAGTCTTTGACGGGTTACGCTGATCTCTAGCACTGATCAATGGCTGCTAATCAATCGATACACGTTAATCTCAAGATTGGCTATTGATCCCAAGGCCACCGTGGTCCTTTCATCGGACCGACAGCCCCTTTCACGGCGGGCGGGCCCTGTGTGAGGGTCCCGTGTCTGACGATCATCGATACGGTGATTGATACGACGTTGTATTGACTCGTCCGTGGTTCGTTGTCCGGTTAATCTGAACGCGTGTTTGGTATGTAGGCGGAGACAGTAGGCCAGTTGGTACAGATTTGACTTGTATATCTATAGAAATATATTTGTAGCAAATTTTATATATATATATATATATATATATATATATATATATATATATATATATATATATATATATATATATATATATATATATATATATATCTAGCATTAAACTAATCATTTCGATATTTAATGTCTATGTTACAGATCGCTGGGGATGTGAGACGGTCTCATTTGTTACCTCCCTTGGAAAATGGGACAAAGAGCAGGGGAGTGTACTCGTCTATGGACACGAATGTAAGTTGTTGCCCTTTAATTACCTTAATGTACAGAGCGACACGATCGGCGGGTCCCATGTTGTGTGGGTGTAGCCTCAGGGTCAACATGCACGACCACGGTGGCTTAAGGTAAAGATGGGTAGGACGAGGTTTGAGAATAGATGCTAGTGTAGACATTGAGCAGTAGAGGCGGCCATTGACAAGAAACAAGTTCTGGGCCTGGGTTATAGATCGTCTTCACCCGTCACACCCAATCATGGAGTGGCCGGACGGTAGAACTCTCCACCGCTAACCCAAAAGACTCGAGTTCGGTTCCCGAGAGTGCGTTAGTATGACGTTCCTGAGTCCACCCAGCGGGTATCTAACTCGAGTTAGGGAAAGTAAAACAAGCTCGGCATAGAGCTGACCATATCACAGACAAAAAGGTAAGCTCTACTTCATCTGCTCCATGGACCGCCCGGTCCTGGAGGGTACCTTCTTGCCACACAAAGTATCAATTACAGCCGATGTCGTAATTATATTTTGCTACGTTGTGTTAAATTTTGTATGGTCAAGACTTACCTGGACATTTTGTCCACAGCTGTACGAGGACAAAAACTACCACAGAGTCAGCGTGGAAATGGACAAAAAAATCATCACACATCTCCGGGTGAGTTTTGTCTTGTGAATGTCGCACTTGTGAATGTCGCACTTGTGAATGTCGCACTTGTGAATGTCGCTCTTGTGAATCTCGCACTTGTGAATGTCGCACTTGTGAATGTCGCACTTGTGAATGTCGCACTTGTGAATGTCGCACTAGTAAATGTCGCTCTTGTGAATGTTGCACTTGTGAATGTCGCACTTGTGAATGTCGCACTTGTGAATGTCGCAATTGTGAATGTAACTCTGGTGAATGTCGCAGTTGTGAATGTCGCAATTGTGAATGTCGCAATTGTGAATGTCTCTGGTGAATGTCGCAGTTGTGAATGTCGCAATTGTGAATGTCGCAATTGTGAATGTCGCACTTGTGAATGTCACTCTGGTGAATGTCGCAGTTGTGAATGTCGCACTTGTGAATGTCACTCTGGTGAATGTCGCAGTTGTGAATGTCGCACTTGTGAATGTCGCACTTGTGAATGTCGCACTTGTGAATGTCACTCTGGTGAATGTCGCAGTTGTGAATGTCGCACTTGTGAATGTCGCACTTGTGAATGTCGCACTTGTGAATGTCACTCTGGTGAATGTCGCAGTTGTGAATGTCGCACTTGTGAATGTCGCACTTGTGAATGTCGCACTTGTGAATGTCACTCTGGTGAATGTCGCAGTTGTGAATGTCGCACTTGTGAATGTCGCACTTGTGAATGTCGCACTTGTTCAAACACCGGTTTATGGTTAGTGGTTTGTTTGTACTGTAATTTTTAAAACGGTGTGTTTAAGATTGAACTAATGTCAGTAATGGCCTTGAATTTTGACACGAACTTTTATTTCCAGCGCAACTTGAACAAAAGGGGGAGCAGACGTGAGGACACGGAGATATCGGGGGGTGGGGCTGGAGCTGATGCAGAGTCGAGGAGGGGGAGTGTCAGGACAGGACAGGTAGGTCACAGGGTGAAGGTCACGAGTTAGAGGTCACTGGGTGACGGTCACGGGTTAGAGGTCACTGGATGAAGGTCACGTGTTAGAGGTCATTGAGTGAAGGTCACTCGTTGGAGGTCATTGTGTAAAGGTCTATTGGCAAAGGTCAATCGGTAAAGGTCGATTGGTGAAGGTCACTGATTATGGTCACTGAGTGAAAGTTAGTGGGTGAAACTCTCGAGGTCTGAGGTCCCGGGATGAGCCTGGGGTTTTGGGTGTTGGGTGTGAGGTGTGAGGTCGTTTATTGGAGTCAGAGATTGGGTGCTTGAGGTCATATAATGGTGCTCAAACATTGGGTTACTTGTGGTCTTAAAATGATGTGTTTATTACGTTGTATTGCCACAAGCAGCAAGTAGAGTGTACTTAATACAACATGTGTGTGTTGTGGAGATCTTAACGGGTTTAAAAAACAAGCAGTGTTGTATAGTGTAATATGTGTTAAGACCTACCTTATCCTCCGTATACTAACAAAGCTCGACTACTGAAATAATTGTTGAAATATCGTCCTATGTATGCCAGTCACGTGCGGAAGGACGAGATCGTCTCTTCTCGAGCTACTCCGAGATCGGCGAGAAAATACGAGACAAGTCCCGACACCCTTTTCCTCAGACCTCGCCCTACACCCTACACCACCAGAACACCATTGCATGGGACGGGGACGGCGACACCGGAAGTGCCAGAGACTCTCCCAACAGGCTGCAGATCTCGTAAGTTCTTGTTTCACTGAGTGTCTCACGTTGTACAAACTAGCTTCACACAACAACTCGTATCTCCATCTTTGTTACAGGCCTCTGGACAACACAGTATCAGATGTTGACAGCCGGGGGTCGGCCCGTCAGGGATCGGGCCGTCAGGGGTCGGGAAGTCAGGGGTCGAGAAGTCAGGGGTCGGGCGGTCGGGTGAGTGTTGATGCTATCAAGCACGGGGACGCCGGTAAACTCCGAGAGAAGATGTTGATCACTGAGGTCACCAACATGTTGGGGCCGGATGTTGGGATTGATGTACCCGTGGATGATGGCGGCGATGTGGACATCAGTGGTGAGACATCATTCGGACTTGTACACATCAGTACACATGCATGCACATCCATACACATCCATGCACATCCATACACATCCATGCACATCCATACACATCAATACACATCCATACACATCCATACACATCCATACACATCCATACACATCCATACACATCCATACACATCCATACACATCCATACACATCCATACACATCCATACACATCCATACACATCCATACACATCCATACACACATCCATCCACATCCATACACATCCATAGTCATCACAACGCTTCAGTAGTCATCGATACACACAAATTCATAACAATACCTATCAATACACATATATGTGATCGCCATATCTATAGAAGCCTACATTCACAGCCACTGAATGGTAATGTGCATATTTTGTTTCTGACAAAAAAAATTTGAAAAATACATAATATTCAAACAATAATAATTCTGTAACTAAAAATGATCTTTAGTTCTAATCGAATTTCACAACAACTTTAAAAAAGATGATTTAACAAATTTCTACGAATAAAAACATATTTAAAAATACATCATAAACAACAATCATCATCAAATCAACCTTATCAACCAATCAACCAACCCACCAACCAACCAACCAACCAACCAATCAGCCAACCAACTAACCCACCAACCAACCAACCAACCAACCCACCAACCAACCAACCAACCAACCAACCCACCAACCAACCAACCAACCAACCAACCAACTAACCAACCAACCAACCCACCAACCCACCAACCAACCAACCCACCAACCAACCAACCAACCAACCAACCCACCAACCAACCAACCAACCAATCAGCCAACCAACACACCAACCAACCAACCAACCAACCAACCCACCAACCCACCAACCCACCAACCAACCAACCCACCAACCAACCAACCAACCAACCAACCCACCAACCTACCAACCCACCAATCAGCCAACCAACACACCAACCCACCAACCAACCAACCAACCAACCCACCAACCCACCAACCCACCAACCAACCAACCCACCAACCAACCAACAAACCAACCAACCCACCAACCAACCAACCAACCAACCAACCAACCAACCAACCCACCAACCAACCAACCAACCAATCAGCCAACCAACTAACCAACCAACCAACCCACCAACCTACCAACCCACCAACCCACCAACCAACACACCAACCAACCAACCAACCAACCAACCAACCAATCAGCCAACCAACTAACCAACCAACCAACCAACTAACCAACCAACCAACCAATCAGCCAACCAACTAACCAACCAACCAACCAACCCACCAACCCACCCACCAACCAACCAACCAATCAGCCAACCAACTAACCAACCAACCAACCCACCAACCCACCAACCCACCAACCAACACACCAACCAACCAACCAACCAACCAACCAATCAGCCAACCAACTAACCAACCAACCAACCAACCAACCAACCAATCAGCCAACCAACTAACCAACCAACCAACCAACCCACCAACCAACCAACCAACCAATCAGCCAACCAACTAACCAACCAACCAACCCAGCAACCCACCAACCCACCAGCCAACCCACCAGCCAACCTACCAACCAGCCTCTATAACAAAATACTTTCTGTACCAGCAGACGAGACCCAGGACTTCCGTCGTCTTGTCGTCAGCCCCGTACAGACCCCCACAGCCAGAAGGTAAAGCTGTCTCTCTCATAAAGTAAAGTCTGTCACTGTCATAAAGTAAAGTCTGTCACTAAAGTAAAGTCTGTCACTGTCATAAAGTAAAGTCTGTCACTATCATAAAGTAAAGTCTGTCACTAAAGTAAAGTCTGTCACTCTCATAAAGTAAAGTCTGTCACTAAAGTAAAGTAAAGTCTGACACTAAAGTAAAGTCTGTAATAAGGTAAAGTCTGTCATAAAGTAAAGTCTGTCACTAAAGTAAAGTAAAGTCTGTCACTAAAGTAAAGTAAAGTCTGACACTAAAGTAAAGTCTGTCAGTAAAGTCTGTCATAAGGTCTGACACTGTCACAAATGTAAAGTCTGTCGCTGACACTAAAGTAAAGTTTAAAGTAAAGTCTGACGCAATTGTAAAGTTCGACTTTAAAAGTCAAGTTTTCCGCAAAAGTAAAGCTAATGCAAAAGTGATGTTTGAAAACAAAAGTTTGGCAAACAATTTAAAAACTCCTCGAAATTATAAAAATTGCTATTTTACGAGAACGATATCTTGGTAATATTATATTCTTTACAACACTTAATGATGTATACTTTACACACTAGTGGTGTATACTTTACACTTCTAATGATGTATACTCTACACACTTAATGATGTATACTTTACACACCCCGATGTTAATTAAAAAAGCACATAAACCTAACAGAGTCTAATTGTATTTCAACTTGCTCCCCTCAGACCCCTGACCCAAGAAAATGGCCGCTACACGGTGGGGGAGCGGATGTTTGACCTGCTGGATGGGGCGGTGGAGAAAAAATGTCCGCCTGACCACACGGTCGTTCACCTGTACATAGCTGCTGAGGTCTCAGGTACAGTTGGTCATTCTTTGGGGGTCATTCTTGTTGGTCAGTCTTGTTGGTCAGTCTTGTTTTGGTCATTGTTTGTGATCAGTCTTGTTTTCGTCATTGCTTGTGGTCAGTCTTGTTAGCTACATAGCATAACATGCTACCAAAATCTTACACAGATCTTACGAAAATATTGTAGTAAAATCTTACTTAAATCTTTCGAAATATTGTGATAAATCTGACCTAAATATTACGGAAATATTGTGAAAAAATCTTATCTAAATCTTACGGAAATATTGTGATGATATTACCTATTTTGTTGTTATATTTTTAAAAATGTATTTAATTATTGGCTCCCTTTTTTTAAAACGAATGTTAGCCTCCCTTGAATTAAAACATTTTTGTTAACTCCCCTTAATTTGACAGACTCCGACGCCGAGAGAAACATGTTGCAGGAAGTCTTGTACCCCAGGCTCCGAGACTTGTATCGAGAGAGAGGACATGAGCTGAGAGTCTATGACCTTCAGTGGGGGTTCAAGGACGTGCTCTCTGATGACCACGGGGTACCGGAAGTTCTGAGAAAGTCAATAGCCAGAACACAGGAGGCTCCGTTTGGCATCAACTTCATGGTAACTCATGGAATCTTGTCTCGAGGGTCGGGAGGGGGGGGGGCTGGATGGTAAGTGTATAGACGGTCATGATACCTAAAAGATGAACCTGTAAACAAAAAGTCTGGGTAGTTTGACAAAGGTTACTTTCCATATAATTTTCCGAATTTTATTATTTTAAAAACCCGCTATGGTTACTGGATGATTGTGCTCAAACTGTGGTCAGACGAAAGATTAAATAAATGAAATATTATTAAGTCTATTATTTTTATTGTGCTTTTGTAATGCTTTTCCCAAAAGTTTTATTTAACTATCCAAATGTGTAGCAGTGTAATTAATGTGTTACTAATGTAATCAGATTTTTTTTGTGATCGATGCTAACGTTGGATATGTTGTACCTAGTATCCTAATGTTAGATATGTTGTATTGAGTATCCTAATATTTGATATGCTGTACTGAGTAGAGTAGCCTAATTTTAGATATGTTGTACTGTATATTCTAATGTTGGATGTGTATCCTAATGTTGAATGTGTTGTACTGTGTATCCTAATGTTGGATGTCTTGTACAGTGTCCTAATGTTGGATGTGTTGTAATGTGTATTTTAATGTTGGATGTGCTGTACTGTGTGTCCTTATGTTGGATGTGTTGTACTGTGTATTTTAATTTTGGATAAAATGTTGTACTGTATATCCTAATGTTGGATGTACCGTCTGCTCTGAAGATCATCCTCGGAGAAAAGTTTGGCGCCCAAGTTTTGCCACAACAGATTCCAAAAGACGACTTTGACGCCATCTTGGCTGAAGCTTCAGCTTATATAGAGGAACAAAAATGGCGGCTCAACATCAAGATGGCGGACATTGAGAGCTTCAAGGCCGAACGGGAACGTGAATACAACGGGGTGGAGGCTTCCGGTCAGTTTAGTCCCACTCATAATACACATACACATACACACACACATACCACCAGTTTAGATCACCAGCATTTCTAGATCCTGCGCATACTTAGGTAGCAAGGTCATCTCATCCCATCTAACATTACCTGTGTGACCTTGACCCAATGTACTCACATCTCCACACCTCCAGAGCCAACAGAGAAACTGCCCAACGGTTCCACCGACTCTGGTGATGACGTGTCCCGGAAGTCGAGTATCAACAAAAATGGCAGCGAGCCACAGACAGAAGCCACAGACGAACGAAGAAGAAGAAGAAGTGTTGCACAAAAGAAGGAGCAGCAAGCGCTCAGAGTAAGAGGATTGTCTGAGTTCACATCCTCCCCCCCCCCCCCCATTACACCCAAACCCCCACACCTTGCCTCCACTGGAGTTTTACAGAATTGTAATCGCAAATTGTGAAGTTGATCAAAGCAAAAAGAGAAGTATCGATTTGTTTCAATAGAAACAAAATGTTTTTAAATAAGAGAAAAAAAAGTATACATTTTCAACTCCCCAATTTTTTAATTAAATCGTTGAACGTATTTTATAGCTACTGTTGAAGAATGTTAAGAACATTTTAAATTGTACGTTAACCTGCTACATTTATAGACTGTCTTTGAAATATTTTATTTTATAGTCGGTCACTGACCTGTAATATATTGAGTGGGTCACTGACCTTTAATATGTTTATTCAATCACTAACCTCTGACCTTTGTGTCCAGCAAATCAAAGAAGCCGAGGACCAGCTGCCAGACCTGGATCTGTTACGTCAGTGGTACCAGCTGGACGAGAACTCGGTGCCGCCAGTCTACAGACTCCAGAACATTGGGTCAGTTGCTGTGGTCGGGTGGTGTGGTCAGTTGCTGTGGTCGGGTGGTGTGGTGGGAAGGTGGTGTGGTGGCAAGGTGGTGTGGTCAGGTGGTGTGGTGGACAGGTGGTGTGGTCAGGTGGTGTGGTGGTGAGGTCAGGTGGTGTGGTCAGGTGGTGTGGTGGACAGGTGGTGTGGTCAGGTGGTGTGGTGTGGTGGACAGGTGGTGTGGTGGACAGGTGTGTGGTGTGAAGGTGGTATGGTGGTAAGGTGATGTGGTCAGTTGGTGTGGTGGACAGGTGGTATGGTGGTAAGGTGGTGTGGACAGGTGGTGTGGTGGACAGGTGGTGTGGTGGTCAGGTGGTGTGGTCAGGTGGTGTGGTGGACAGGTGGTGTGGTGGCAAGGTGGTGTGGTGGCAAGGTGGTGTGGTCAGTTGGTGTGGTGGACAGGTGGTGTGGTGGTCAGGTGATGTGGTGGTCAGGTGGTGTGGACAGTTGGTGTGGTCAGGTGATGTGGTGGACAGGTGATGTGATTAGACCTATAGCTATAACGTACAGAGACTAGACCTATAGCCATAGCTTGCAGTGCTTGATCTAAAACTCAATAACAAACTGCTTGTCTCCTGCTTCTAGAAATGTCTTCAAGGACATCCTGAGAAACGACGCCACCAAACGGGCCATGGCCAAGTCATCATTCCAGGCCATGGCCAACAAACTTCTCAGTATCATACACACCTTCGCCCCGCTCGCCCTGAAGAACGACAAGACATTTAACACCTACACGTCATCAGGTAACGTCACACCTTCTAGTTGAAGTCTTTTCTTGAGAGGCTACAACTGTCTAGAATTCTTCAATTAAAGTTCTATTTTAAACCAAACAAAAGTACAGTTCTCTTTCGAGACTCACGGCACATGGAGCTAATGAAGTAGAGTTCAACAGTTTCTTTGAACTCGACTTTAAAAAAAACTCCATTTTCCTTTATCATAAATATAAACACTGAATAATTTGTCTCCAATAAGCTTGCAGTAAACTTAGATCTATTATTATCATAACGACTTTTTGAATTCATTTAAATAACATCAACTCCTGACCCAAAAAAAATTATAATTACAATATTTCACTGACGTAAACTTGTGTGTCCCCAACCCTAACACGCTATGATCTCCCTCCCCCCCCCCCCCCACCCCAGTGTTCGGCATGCAGTTGGAAGACATCCTGGAACACGACACGTCACCCGCCCACACGGCTTGCGTCATCAGGACAATTGACCAGCTGGCTGACCACCTGCAGGACGCCGCGGCTGAGGACTACCTTGACCTCACCAACGACAGGACGCCATCTTTAGACGAGAGGGCGTGGAACAAAATCCAGAACATTCGAAAAGATGTGCACAAGGGAATGGTCAGTTGTCCTTTTGTTAATTGTTTTTAAAACAGTATTTAAAAAATTGTGAACTTTATCGACTTGTCCCGTATGCACACTGTTGTAAATATACAACTTAAGTATTTTTGGCCTCCATTATAATAACCTTAATGATTAATGCAGTGTCCACACTACTAAATTTGTGTTAAATTTTGTAAACAATAAGTCCACCTGTCCATAACGTAAGTAAAAGTCCACCTATCTATAACGTAAGAAAATGTCCACCTGTCCATAACGTAAGAAAATGTCCACCTATCCATAACGTAAGAAAATGTCCACCTTTCCATAACGTAAGAAAATGTCCACCTATCCATAACGTAAGAAAATGTCCACCTATCTATAACGTAAGAAAATGTCCACCTATCTATAACGTAAGAAAATGTCCACCTATCCATGACGTAAGCAAATGTCTACCTACCGTTTCAGGTTCCAGAGAATCACGTGAGCAGCTACCTGCTGGAGTGGTCGCCTGGCGGCATCAAGCCCGGCATCCGGCGAGACCACGGCGTGTACGTGGACCGGATCTCCAGGACGCTCTTTGACCTGACCCTGCACGAGCTGGACACAACGGCAGAGGAGGTGGGAGGGGAGGGGCGACACTGGCAGCAGGAACTGTTTCCAGAAGTCTCGCAGCACGTGAGATGTTGTCACGAGAAGTAAGCGAGATCTGTTCAAGTAGAGTCACATGACGTGTGAAAGTGATGCTATATTTATATCAAAGATAAAGGACATGAAAGATATTTTTGTTGGTTGAAGCGGATTAGTTTAAAGATGTATAGATATTGGTTGAAGCGGATTAGTTTAAAGATGTATAGATGTTGGTTGAAGCGGATTAGTTTAAAGATGTATAGATATTGGTTGAAGCGGATTAGTTTAATCCTTGACTTCTGTCTTGCACTCACGCTTAGCATACCGACCTCACATTACACGCAGCTACATCAGCATCTGACCATGTCTTGTTTCACCACACACTAAAACCCTAACCCAACCCAACCCTAGCTGTTGATATAGCGAGAACATCGGCTTGAGTTGACTCTCGATCTCCGTCTACAGGGCCAGCAAGTTTGAAGGAAGAAAAGACGAGCTGACCATCATCAAAGCCTACCTCAGATCTGACTCAAGGACACCACTGGTGCTCTTCGGGAAACCCGGAAGTGGAAAGTCGGCCATCTTGGGGAAAACTGCCAAAGAAATTAACAAATGGTTTAAAAGGTATTAAACGTAGCATATTGTATTTTCGCAACATGTCAAACTAGAAATACAAATTGTTTGATTAGAAAGTATTGAGTTAGTCAAATACATCCAACATTTTATGGTAGAAGTAAAACTTGTTATTTGAATGCTGTGTCAGTCAACCCCTACCCCTCCCCTTCCCTCCCCAGTGATGATCTGGTACCCAGGGTCATAGTTCGGGTCATCGGCTCCACGGTAGACTCTACTGACGTCAGACTGATGTTACATCACGTGTGTCAGCAGTTATGTCACATCTTTGATCAGAATCCTGCCGAGATTCCTGTGGTGAGTTCTTCATGCAAAGTTATGTGGACCTCATGTGTTTGGTGTATGTTCTTCATGCAAGGTTCTGTGGACCACATGTGTTTAGTGTGGACTATATGTTTGGTGTATGTTCTTCATGCAAGGTTCTGTGGACCACATGTGTTTAGTGTGGACTATATGTTTGGTGTATGTTCTTCATGCAAGGTTCTGTGGACCTCGTGTGTTTGGTGTGGACTATATGTTTGGTGTATGTTCTACTTGTAGGTTTCTGTGGGCCTTATGTGTTTTGTCTGTGTTTTGTCATGTGTGTTTTGTACATGCCCCCATAACCCATGTGTATTTGTATTTAGTTCTCCTGCCGCCAAACGACGAACACATTTAGTTTACTGTCGTTATTTTCCTTATTTTTCCTTCCTTTTTATTCGAGTCAAATGAAATGCAATTTTTTCCCTGTATACTAATAAGAATACGTAAAACAATATGATCTTAAAGTAACACACAATCCAATCTAATTTGTGTAATAAGTCCCTCCTACAGATTCTTGTGACATTTAGTGTAGCATTAGACAAAATTAAAGTGTTGTTGTTTGTCTTGCAGGATATCAAAGGTGTGTCCAACGATTTCAGCTGCCGTATATCCAACGCTACAGAAGAAAATCCGCTCATCTTTATTTTTGATGGAGTGGATCGGCTCACAGGTGCGGGTTTTGTTTTGTTTTTACACTATCGGAAAATGAATTAGAGAATTAAAAATCAACAGAGCTTTAACCGATAATGTATTAAATTATACGCTTACCTTCAATCCGTGCTTACCTCTGTGTCGCAGGTCAGTTCGATGGTAGAAAACTTCAATGGCTGCCGACGTGCCTGCCGCCTCACGTCAAGATCATCATCTCCACCGTGTCTGACGACCGGTTCGAATGTCTGCCGGCCGCACGGAAGTTGCTGGACGGTCATGCCGGAAGTTTCCTGGAAGTCGGTCCACTGCCAGAACACGCGGCTCAAGCCCTACTGGACAACTGGTTCCAGAGCCAGCACCGGACCATCACTGACCACCAGTACAAGGTTCTGCTCGAGGCTTTCAGGAAGTGTCCCTACCCGTTGTTTCTTAAGGTGAGATAACTTTTGACAAAGTTAGCTTAAGTGTTTACAAGAGTTATAGTCCTTGGTTTATTTATTATCGAGTTAAGCCATTTAGTTTTTTTAGGGGAGCCGAACGTTTTCCCGAAAGACACTTGCCCGAATGCCGTTTGCCCGAAGGCCGATTTCCCGAATGGACACTTGCCCGAATGCGACAAATGCCCGAATGGACACTTGCCCGAATGCGACAAATGCCCGAATGGACACTTGCCCGAATGGGACAAATGCCCGAATGGACACTTGCCCGAATGCGACAAATGCCCGAATGCCACTTGCCCGAAGGCCGTTTGCCCGAAAAATGTTAATATTAGATAATAAATAATATTTCCAAATAGACATTCTTTAAATCAATTTCCGTTTGAAATTTTGATTATAAATACAATTCTAAACATAAAACAAAGTTGTTTATATTTTTAAATTTAGCTTTTATTACTTTCTCGTATATACGAAGTATAGAGAAAGTCTTGTAATCGTGCAAAAAAAAAAAACGAGATTTTTGCAAATCTCGACGTTTTACATCTCACTGATACGGAAAAACATAATTTTGCAATCTTGTCCGTATGTCTGTGTGTCTGTGTGTGTGTGTGTGTGTGTGTGTGTGTCCGTGTGTAAACACGATAACTTGAGTACCGTTACAGCTAGGTTGATGAAATTTCATATACAAGTATTTTATCAAAATCGTAGATCCGTATCAACTTTTGAGCGATTTCGGATAACCGGAAGTGGTACTTTTTCTACTTAGAATTTTTCAAAAGCCTATAACTTGAGTACTATTTCAGATAGATAGATGAAATTTGATATGTAAGTAAAAGATCTAATTCTCTACCTTCTGTAAAATTTTGAGAATTTTTCGTTGACCGGAAGTACTTATTTACGCTACTTCCGATTTCTCAAAAAACTAATCTAAATTTTAAAAGTACTAATAATATTGCGCACTATTATGCGCTTTTTTATTCGCGTTCACTTGGTGTGCAATTAATTTGTCTACGAGATTTTATTCTATTTTTAAAACTTTAAGTATTTAAAATGGATTAAAAATCATGTCTATAGCCCGAGTTCCCATCCCCTGTTATTTTATATAAGAATATTCGAGAAAGTTTAGGGGAGATCACTCCCGGTTTATTTTTTTTTCAAAACTGAAAAAGTGCAGTAAGAAAAACTTTATTCTTCAATAAATGTAAGGTGATGTTGGCGGCGGTGTTCTAACATTCTTTTGATGAATGTTTTGGAACACCTTGTTTAGCCGACGTGTTGCCGTGGTTATATAGTTTTTATGACACGGCGTAAGCGGCGCGGCGTCTCGCAACGTTGAACAGAAGCGCGTTTGTTTGTTTATCTTGTTATGCTTAACTTGTGTGGTGATCATTTAACAAAAGAATGAGGCGAGGTCTAGGTAGCAAATTTAAAAACTAAACTTAGTCAAATATGTTTGATCTCCATTTAATGCACCTTGTTAAAACAATGTGTTAAAGCGATTACTTAATAAAGAAAGCAAAACTCATTTTACAATACGGAGATGAATGAAAATTGTATTTTTGTCTAATTTCATATATGGAAGAGAAAGTATGTTTCTACACTTTTTAAATATCAAATACAAATTAATTTAAAATGTCTGCTTGGTAATATATAATATTATTTTTTCACTTTCTTTTTGCGTAGATGTGTTTTGTTTACCAACATTTTAAATTTAAATTGATTACAAATGATTATTTAGTAATATATAATGTTAACATTTTTCGGGCAAACGGCCTTCGGGCAAGTGGCATTCGGGCATTTGTCGCATTCGGGCAAGTGTCCATTCGGGCATTTGTCCCATTCGGGCAAGTGTCCATTCGGGCATTTGTCGCATTCGGGCAAGTGGCATTCGGGCATTTGTCGCATTCGGGCAAGTGTCCATTCGAGCGTTTGTCGCATTCGGGCAAGTGTCCATTCGGGCGTTTGTCGCATTCGGGCAAGTGTCCATTCGGGCATTTGTCGCATTCGGGCAAGTGTCTTTCGGGAATTTGTCGTAGACCCGTTTTTTAGCAAGTATGTTTATCTTTTAAATTTCTACAATATACAATAATCATCATTAATGGTATTTGTAGTAAGTAACACTGTTAGCAGTTGACAAGTGGGGTTAAAGTCAGGGCTAGAGATGGGAATATATGGAATATTATGTAGTTTGGCATAGTTTAGGGTAGGTTTACACATTACCGGCATTATTTACCGGCTCCTAAACCATTGCAACATTCCGTCTAATGCCGTTACACCTGTCCCCGCAGGTCGCCTTCACTGAGGTGGTGACGTGGACGTCCTACATGAAGCTGGAGGCCGTCAAGCTGGGCGAGACGGTCAAGAAACTGGCCACGCTCCGGTTCGGCCGGCTGGAGAGAGACCACGGGGAGCCTCTGGTCAGGCGAGCCCTCGGCTACATCACGGCGGCCCGGAGCGGCTTGACCTTCAACGAGATGGAAGATGTTCTGTCGCTGGATGATGTCGTGATGGATGATGTCGTGGCCACACACAGGATGCAGAGGCGGCGCTTGCCCACACTGCTGTGGGTGCGGCTGCTGGAAGACATGGGGGATCTGGTCGCCGAGGTCAGGGCGGATGGCGTCAAGACGTTCAGGTGGGCGCACGCGGACATGCACGACGCGGCAGAAGAAAGATACCTGCTGCAGAGAGACAAGGCGCCGTCCTACCACAAGGCTCTCTCTGAGTATTTCCTGGGGCTGTGGGCGGGCACGCCTAAACCTTTCACCGGGAATGAGAAAGGAAGCGACCGGCTAATATCGCACCAGGAGCTGTACTTCCAGCCCCAGCAGTCTAAAACTGAGCGCGTGTACAACTTGAGGCGGGTGAACGAGCTGCCGTTCCATCTGTTGAGGTCCCAGCAGAACGCCCTGCTCAAGCAGCACTGTCTGTGTAGCTTTGAGTGGATGTTGGCCAAACTCTGCGGCACCTCCCTCATAGCGCTGCTGGAGGAGTATCACGTGGTACTGGCTCTAGAGCCCGGGGAGGTGGAGCTGAGGGTAATCTCGGAGGTTCTCCAACTGTCTCGGAAAGCACTGATGCGTGACCCTCGTCAGCTCGGCTCTCAGATCGTCGGTAGACTCCAGCGGATCATCACAGCAGACGCCCCCAAATCCCCGGGGGACCCAAAGAAGTTCCCCACCCTGCTCGTGCTGCTGTCGGCCGCCAAGCAGTCGTCCCTCCCCGTTCTCATCCCGTCCACCACGTGCCTGAGTGAGCCGGGCGGGATGATGTATGACGTCATGTCCGGACACACAGCGCCCGTCACGGCCCTGACGCTGACCACTGACGGACTTCGTGTGCTGACCGCATCCAGAGACCGAACCATCAAACTCTGGGACATTCGATCCGGCAAAGTTTTAAAATCAATGAAAGATCAAGGATCGGACATTTCCGTTATACGAACTGCCATGGCCAATTCCTTAGCTGTCACGGTTGAAAATTCCGTTATCAGAATTTGGAATTTACAAAATGAAAAATGTGTTTTTGTCATCGATAGCTACATCGACCCAGCCAGTATATGTCTGGCGTCTGACGGCCGTCTTCTGGTTGCCGTCTTTGATGGGTCAAACGTTTTCCGTTCTTGGAATCTGGACAATTTTGGTCTAATATGTGAGGAAATTATTCCCGACCATAGCATCCACAAAGACAATTCCATTTTAATCGCAGACTCTTCTTCCGGCGACCAGGTACTGCACGCGTTCAGGAGCGGCAACTTCGCGACTGTGCATCACGCGAGGACGGGGAAGATTGTCAAAAATCTGGACTGCCACGACAAGTCGTCGGCCGTGGTGGCGCTGGCCATCTCTAGGGAGTACTTCATCATCTGCTGCCGCCAGCAGAACCTGACGCTCAGCGAGATCCACACGCTGGAACTCTTTGACGCGGCCAAGTGCACGTACATCAGGAGCATCCGCGGCTGTCCGCAAGACAGCATCAGGAACTTGTTCGTGAACCTAGCCGGAAGTCACGCCATCGCTGTCTCCGTCAACCGCACCAACAAAACATCAGACGTGGTCCTGTACAACCTGGAGACCGAGGACCACAAGCACCTGGCCTCACATCCCTGCGTCAGCCCCCTCTGCGCATGTCTCGACTTCCGGTTCTGCTTGACAGGCGCTGAAGACGAAAACTTCCTGCGGCTGTGGGACCTGAGTTCAAAGGTCAACCAGCCAGTGCCCAAGTTAAAGAAACAACACGGAATCGCTGACATATGGCCCATGATAGATAACCCAAGGTAGCTAAACCTAACCACATAATTAATGTTTTACATATAAATTCTGGTAACTATGATATTTAAAAAAAAAACATTGAATAAGAAAACCTATTACTCAGGAACTTTTCTAAGGCACACGTTTATTTATTTTCTATTATTTTTTTTTAATGATTTTTAGTTTAATCTAAGAGTAGTGCACACTCAGCAATGATTTTTTTTTACTTTCTCGTATATACGAAGTATAGAGAAAGTCTTGTAATCGTGCAAAAAAAAAATCGAGATTTTTACAAATCTCGACGTTTTACACCTCACTGATACGGAAAAAAATAATTTTGCAATCTTGTCCGTAAGTCTGTGTGTCTCTGTGTGTGTGTGTCTGTGTGTGTGTGTGTGTAAACACGATAACTTGAGTACCGTTACAACTAGGTTGATGAAATTTCTTATATAAGTATTTTATCAAAATCGTAGATCCTGATCAACTTTTGAGCGATTTCCGATAACCGGAAGTGGTACTTTTTCTACTTTGAATTTTTTAAAAGCCTATAAATTGAGTACTATTTCAGATAGATAAATGAAATTTCACATGTAAGTTAAAGATCTACTTTTCCACCTTCTCTCAGATTTTGAGTAATTTCCGTTGATCGGAAGTACTAATTTACGCTATTTCCGAATTCTCAAAAACTAATGTAAATTTATAAAGTACTAATAATATTCCGCACTATTATGCACATTTTGTTTTGCGTTCGCTTGGTGCGCAATTCTTTTTTCTATGAGATTCTATTCTATTTTAAAAAGTTTAAGTATTTAAAATGGATTAAAAATCATAACTATATCCCGAGTTCCCATCCCCTGTTGTTTTATATAAGAATATTCGAGAATGTTTAGGGGAGATCACTCCCGGTTTATTTTATATTTGTACACATTGTGTTTGGTCTCATGTACACATTGTGTTTGGTCTCATGTACACATTGTGTTTGGTCTCATGTACACATGTTGTTTGGTCTCATGTACACATTGTGTTTGGTCTCATGTACACATTGTGTTTGGTCTTATGTACACATTGTGTTTGGTGTCATGTACACATTGTGTTTGGTCTCATGTACACATTGTCATTGGTCTCATTTACACATTGTGTTTGGTCTAGTGTACACATTGTGTTTGGTCTCATGTACACATTGTATTTGGTCTCGTGTACACATTGTGTTTGGTCTCGTGTACACATTGTGTTTACTCTCATGTACACATTGTGTTTGCAGATATGTGGTAGCCAAGGCCATCAACAACGGACCAATCAGCGTGTGGAACGTGGCAAAAGGCAAGTGTCTGCAGGCCGCCGTGAGGATCGAGCGAGGGCTGGCTGAAGGCACGGACGCCATGGTCATGCGCAACACCCAGCTGGTCATCCTGACGGACAAGGGAATCTCCAGCGCCACGGACGACTCCAGGCCCGTCTTCCAGACCGTGCTGGTCTACGACCTCAAGCTCAAGAGGTACACGCGCCGGCTGACCGGCTGCTACATCGTGCCGGCTCCGTCACACGAGTACGTTCTGCTGGACAGTGAGAACCTGCTGGGGCCGTCAGACAACAGGACGCACTTCATCATCTGGAGCCTGCAGTCTGGACATGCTGTGGCTAGGATCAAAACAGGTAGGGGTCAAGGGGTCAAGGGGATCAAGGGTACACTAAAACACACTTCATCATCTGGAGCCTGCAGTCTGGGCATGCTGTGGCTAGGATCAAGACAGGTAGGGGGTCAAGGGGTCAAGGGTACACTAAATCACACGTCATCATTGGGGGTGGTCCAATGTTTTAACATGGAGGTGGGAGAGGGGCTCCAAACGTGAACTGAATCAGTTATAAAAGGTGTTTGTTTTAATTGATTGAGATCCCACCTAATATAACTACCTAATTATTCGTATGTCGTAGAACATATTATCAAGAAAGCAAGGTTATATAAACCAGTTGAATTTTACAAGCTACAGATTTCTCCGGCATCCTACTGTTATCAAATCAACCATCACATTTCTCCCTTATCTACTGTTTAACAAAGCAACCATCACATCCTTTATCTATTGTTTAACAAAGCAACAAATTCTCAGGTTTCAAAGAGCTGGAACGGAGAAGGCTGGACAAGGGGACGCAACTGATCACTGCCCCAAAACTCAAGAGAAGTGACTCGGAGTCTATGACGCCGTGGGAGAGACGTGCCGAGACAACGTGAGTCATATTGTCACATCGATTTGGCGGCCGTAGTTGTCACATTTATGTTGGCGGCCATATTAGTCACATTTATGTTGGCGGCCATATTTGTAACAATCTTGGCGTAGGCCTTCTTTGTCTCCTAGTCTAATACATCATTAGAGCCTTGAAGTAAAAAATATTTAAAATAATGCTAATCAATTAACTAGCATGCTGAATGTGTCTGTTGTGTGTCCACCTCCAGGTCGGCCAAGACACGACGTCACGAGCAGGAGAAAGAGAGGGAGAAACAGAGGCTGGAGGAGCTGAGGAAGGAGAAGGACAACGCCGTTGACCGCTTCCTCATCAGCGGCGACCAGAAGGTCATCGTGGCCTCCTTCTACTCACACCACCTGTGCGTGTTCGACGTCCCTAGCAGAAAGCACGTGCAGACCTTACAGACTGAGTACTCCATGATGTTCCTGCACAACGCCGCTCTCACACACGACGGCAGCCATCTTGTACACGCAAACTATGACGAGGACAGCAAAATCAGTTACGTCACTCTGTGGGACTGCACGACAGGGGAGGTAAAGAGAAGATTAAAAAGGGAGACAAAAGTCGCGGCTATTGGTATCACAGATGACGCACAGCGAATCGTCATAGGGCGTGCCGTCAACGAGCTCCATATATGGGACCCGATGAAGCCGAGTTCCCTGAGACGGATTCAAGGCTACGACGGTCTACGGTTTGAGATCAACTCGAAAATTTTTGTCGTGGACAACGGCAGCAAGGCCATCGTGTTTGCCGGGGACGTGTCAGTGTGGGACCTGGACCAGGGGACGGCACTGTCCGTGTTCACGCCGGACACCCGCATCACCGTGTGCAGCACCCTGCTGGGCGGGCAGCTCGTCGTGTTCGGCATGTACGACAAGCCGGAGCTGGTCATCCTGAAGCTCATGTCCGGCTCTATGCCGCAGACGGAGGACACCGGGGGTGTCGAGCTGTTCGGCGAGACGACAGGCGACACTTCCGACGAAGATGAAAACGACGAGGAAGAAGCAGAAAAAAGTAAAACCAAATAAACTTTGAAGATGTGAGTTGAGTGGAGTATAAATAATTCAAAGCTTGGATATGATGAACTTCCGCTTTCAATAAGGGGAGATCATTTAAAGTCTTTTCTGCTAGTCATATAGTTCGTACAATGAACTATTTGTAATGGGAATCTGTAATAGATTCTAGCCCAGTTAGTTTATAAAGACCCGTACCGTTACCGCATAAACCCAATCGTCATTTAAAATTCATTGTATGCTAACAAAATTAACAAATAACTTCCCAAGACTATTCATCAAAAAAATGTAATCATTTTTTTTTTTACAATTTACCTGAATAGAAAATTGATTATATCTAGGCTAGACAGTTAAATGATAGAATCAAGATTCCCTTCAGTTAAAACTCTATTTCAAATATTCTTGAGCAATGTTTGGTTATAGAGTGACCGCAGTAGCGTGGTTAAAATGCCCCACTTTATTCGACTCAAGCAGAGCCAGGCTTACATACAGTAACTTGTTCTTTTTTGTGCGATGTGTGGGCCTCTAGTACTGCAGCATTGTGAAAGTCGTGATACTTATTTAACAAATGGAATGTGATGTCTAATCAGTATTATCTATATTTACAATCATTCAGTATTTTATTCTCCTTGTAATCACATCAGTATTACAAAATGATTTTTTTCAACACATCTTAAAATATATTTATAATCATAATATTTAAAACGTAAATCTTTAAGCTTGATATGTATAGGTTACTAATTTATTATGATTGAATGTGTACAATTATGCTTGCCATTATCTAAAGTTTACTACTAAAATGATTGATTGTGTACTATTATGTTTGCCAATATGTAATGTTTACTACTAAAATTAATCATAAAAAAGTGTTTTACAAATAAACCTGAGAAGTCTGCCCAGTGTTGAAAATTATCCTTGTTTGAAGAAATGTGTTTGTTCTACGCAGAGGCGTAGCGAGCCTTCCCGGCGCCCGGGGACAAACTTTCAATTTGGCGCCCCCCTCGGGAACAACCTTTCAATTTTTAATTTGCACCCCACTCAAACTTTCCATTTGCGCCCCCCCCCCCCTCAAACTTTCAATTTGCACCCCCCTCAAACTTTCCATTCGCACCTTCCCCCCCCCCCCCATATATTTTTTATATTTATAATGCAAAACTGCAGCTAAAATTATATTTCAATTTGTTTTTCCAACCAATTTCGGCGCCCCCTGAGGTCGGCGCCCGGGGACATATATACCCCCCCATCGCTACGCCTCTGGTTCTACGTTTTTTGGACGGTATGTTATGTGGTGACCCCTAAGATCTAGGAGAAATGTGTCTTCCAGTGACCAACACCCACTTAAACCAGGCTACTACTAATTAGCCCACGCTTAGCCAGGACAAGCTACTACTAATTAGCCCACGCTTATCCAGGGCAAGCTACTACTAATTAACCAACTCAGATCAGGCTTAAGCCCACACCTAACCAGAGCAGGCTACCACTAATTAATCCAACCCCACCCACAATATTCTACCATTAATTAACCCACACAAAACAGGCTAAAATTAATTAACCAAAACAAAACAGGCTAAATTTAATTAACCCACACAAAACAGGCTAAAATTAATTAACCCACACAGAACAGGCTAAAATTAATTAACCCACACAGAACAGGCTAAAATTAATTAACCCACACAGAACAGGCTAAAATTAATTAACCCACACAGAACAGGCTAAAATTAATTAGATCACATTCCCCCAGAAGAGACTGCTAATTACTGCCATATACTGCCGGTCTATCTCGGCCCTAGGATTCGAACTTGTGACTTCTGGATGAACAATCTCTTGCTCTACCACGCCGCCCCCTAAACAACCCACACCGACCGGTGCAGCCTGGAACTAAAAGATCCACATAACTCTCCGACCATACAGCAGTTTACCCATTACCAGCTGACGCAAGACCATTGACCCATGTCCACCGACTACTCTATTTTCAAATGACCCAAAACCTTATGACCCAATGACCCAGAAAGACCCACTAAAACCGCTAAACTAAGAAAACTGTGAACAACCCTACCAGCACTACCTCCACCTCACAAACTACACAATTCACAACGTCCGCCATCTTGCCAGCAAACTTACAACGCGACCGTTTTAAAGGTTTTCTTTTATTTACAGCGTGTTCTGTCCCCCGTTTTAAAAGTTTTCTTTTATTTACAGCGTGTTCTGGCCCCCACAGATGTGACGATAATTGTGCTCAAATTTGACAAAAAAATCGGTCATCGCCGAGCGATAACCTCGCCCGTCCCCTCCACCGTCCCCCGTCCCCGTCCCTGCTCACACATTAGACGGACAGTCCTGAGAGAAAATGGTCCGTTCAACACCAGGGACGTGGGGGGGCAGGGGCATGGGGGGGGGGAGGGAGAAGCGAGACACGGGTATCGATTCTTTGATTTTAACTTGAAAATAGAAGAATCGATTTTTTTTAAATTTTAATTAGGAAATAAGAGTAGATTTTAAAACCAAAATAAAGTACTTCTTTTTTTTTTTTTACAAAAATAGGATAATTAGCAAACCACAGCAGCCTGTCACACTGGGGCGGTCTCTTGTCCAGAATGTGTTTCTTCTAGTGAATTTTCTTACCGGAAAACCCGCTGAGAGTGTCCATGGCCTTGACCTTAGCTGTGAGTGTCATTGGCCTTGACCTTCGCTGAGAGTGGCCATGGCCTTTGGCCTTGCACTCATTTTTAGGGTCAGTAACACATAGATTGCGACTTGCATTCAAACACAATCATGTATCACCAGCATATCTCACAATTCAACACCCAATCATTGTTTGACATAATCATATCTTAATCAATGTTTAATTGTCTCACAATACTACATTCCATTATCTACAGATTTCACAATCATATTCCCACACATTGTTGCCCTCACATTTCCACATACCAAGGCGAATCACGGTCTACCTAACCCCCACATTAAACCCTCACATTAGACCCTCACATTAGACCCTCACCTGTCCCCACAAACAGGCTAATCAATGTTTCCGTGAGCGAAGTTTAACCGGCTAAATCTAACGCACTGCGTGTCTCCAGCACACGTAATTGAGCGGATGATTCTTTTGATTTATTTTTTATAAGTTAACGAAACGCTCCATACAACAAACAGTTTTACCCTTCATTAAATATTCTATAGATCTACGTATTCCTTCCTCGCAGGTATTCAGCGGTTAATACGATCTGGTAATTGTGTAATGCTCGACCAGAACAACACTTGCTAAATACAACTTCATCGATAGATGTTTCATCACGGAGGTCTTCTATAGAACTAATGCGACAACGGAAAATGGTTATTGATAAAATGGGAACGAAGAAAACTATAATGGCGAGATGGAATCGGGAATGTTTGTGCTATTTATAGCTTAGGGCCTGTACATGAAATTTCATACCGCCGAGAGAGGATGGGAGAGTAGTTCAAAAACTGATGACGTCATCGATTGGAGACGGGGGGGGGGGGGGGGGGGTTCTGTGATGACGGGTTGATATTAACCAACGTGATTCCAAAAATAGAGTTACTAGAACCAGGTGTTAACGTATACGTTGACAGCTGGGAAATAAAACCGTCAGCATCTTTACGTTTTCAGTTGGTGATGGTAGCTGTCCACAATTTGTGATGGTAGTTGTTCAGAAAATTCTTGATGTGTCTGAAAATTCACGGTATATTAGCAGTAGTGTTTCTTCCAGACTTTCTTCTCAGGGGGTGGGGGGTGGGGGTGATATTTCCGGGGGGGGGGGAGGCGGTCTGAGGATGTTTTTTTCCTGATATAGAAATTTTGTTCATTACTGTAATTGGACATTTTTTATGTCAGATTTGTTCCATATAGTGATTGCCATTTTTGTGAAACAAAAATGCCTCTCTAAAAGGGAGGGGATGTGACCTACTTAGGTCTGTTTGGCTTTATGTATATTCAATCTCCTGAGATATGTATTTGTCCTTGGGAGAATTGTCAGTTCACTGGTACAACCCGGTCAACTGAACGCTGTCACATCATGTGATTGTAAGTTTAATCCCTGGCAGAACCTCAACCAATGGACTTGCGACCATGAGGATCCTTGACTGACCCTCAACCAATAGTCGTAAGACTTTTGAGTTATTTCCCCTTACTCTGAGTTGTATTTAATCACGGGATTCTCAAGTCCAGAGGCCGCCAGATTGACCTAGGGACCAGGAGAGGTGTGCCTGTGGTTAGGTACGCCATTTTGCAGTATTGTTATTTTGTGACATGATTTCACCTTTTGTATAAGGAATTATGTGACTTGTTGTAGTTTACTGAATTTGTGTTCTGGTGTATTATTACACCTTTTTGACTATCGGTGATAGTTTAACCTGTATAAGGATTTCTATTGTTATAGAGGCAAATTGTCTCTCCTTGGTCTTTTGTTGTGGTTATTATGAGGCCAGTTCAGTTGTGTGTATTAATGATTTATCACAGCTGTGATGTATTGTGATTTTTCCCCAAACTGTAAGTTGGAGTTGAGTTTATTTATATTACACTGAGAATCTGTACATTTTGATCTTACCTAGTGTCATTATCTTGTACATAAATTAAAAAGGTATTCATAGTTTAAGTCGTGTGAGTCTCTTCGATTTGTCGTGTTTTACCCCTAGACTGAATTAACGAGCTCACGGCAAGTTGTTGAGATTCCGTTACAACGTCTTCTATCGGTACCATACCAAACGAACCTGGGGCGTCCGCTTCCTCCGCGGCTGTCGGAGGTCGGACATAACACTCCGAAAACCATTTAATTTTATAATAACCAACACACTATCGTGAATTTCCTCTTCTTAGATTTTGATACTTGTTACTCGTTATAACGCACCTATTATATGCATATTCGTATAATACAAACTGACATTTCGACACACCCTTTCCCACCATATAACGTTGTATATGAGAGGTCTTTAATGACGCCGTTTAAACGCGCCAAATAAAAAAAAAATGACCCGTTTCTAAACGACGCCATTTCAGGTCGCCAAATGACCAGTTCTTCCACCAGCAGAATTGTCCCGGGTCCTGGAGAGCCGCTCCACCCCACCCTCCACCCCACCCTCCTACAGACACTCCAAACACGCGCGCAAAATCCTAAACAGCGGAAAAACCGCGCTGTTCGATTCTATTAATAAACCTTTGCGGAAATTCCCGTTAAAAAAACAAGTTACCTCCACTTAAGGAGGGCGCAAGAAGCTCTTGACCGGCCCTTCGTTACGTCCCACGGGAGCAGACGTTAGAGTCACGTGTCGCTACTTCCGGCTGCATTGCTCTCAGTTCTAACCTCGTTTTCATGAGTCGTCAGCCTCGATGTGGAGTTTTTGGTCACGTGACAATAGTAGCAATGAAGGTGAGTTGCCTCCCCTAGATAGGAGAAGAGTGCATGACCATTGGTCATTAAGGCTACTGCAAATGTTTGATCTCATCATAATGACTTAAAGAATGACATTAAGTAATACAATTAATGCCAGATAATAATTCAATGTCGTGTTTTAATTAAAAATTAGATAGTATCCCCACTCAAGTCTACTGTTACATGCGTATTATAGGATGGTCAGCGCCAATGATTGGTTGAGTTCAACAACAGTTTTACTTCTAGCTACACATTGGTCGCAGGGTCCCTGAAATGTTCCACCACCGTCGACATCCATTTAACCAATCGATTTGTACAGACGTCCACTACAAGGTAAGCGCCTTCATTAACCAACAGAGGTACTGAGGTCACATGGAACATATAGGAAGTTTTCAAAACGAAACATGTACAGTTCTAAAGCCGGAAAAGTGGTCAGCATGCAGAGTTTCTTTCAGGTATCTTTTTGGATAAGGGGCAGAGCCCGTCAACTGACACACCTCACGTGAACACCTCTCGTGAACACCTCTCGTGAACACCTCTCGATTAATGCAAACACACTCAACCAAGGGCCACAACTACATACAAAAAGTGGGTACCTGTCGTTCGAGCACACAACACACACAATCAGGAGACGCTACATGTCATGGACGTAACACACTCCAGATTAATTATTTTAAAGATTTATCAATGGTTGCTCTGGTTTGTTTTCGGTTGATTTTAATTCTGTTTTCCAAAAAGACGCCAATGTCTTAAAACCCCTCCCAGGGGTGGATCATGTTGGTAGTTTGGGACTCCGGACGCTGGGTAATATCCCTTGGGTCCGACAGAAACGGTGAGGTAGTGCCTAAAATGGCGGACTGTTAAGCTCGTATATCTACTTCTGTTTCTGCAATCTGTATCTGCTTTGATAACAAACAATAATTATCTGATAATATTTTTTTTTAAATGTAGGCAGTATTGTTAATTTTTACGGAGACTTCAAAAGCTGAAATAATTAAAGTACACATCTCCAAAACCAAGCAAGCCTTAAAACATGGCGATCGAAAAAAAATTCCAAGACCAAATGTAGACCTTCTAAAAGTAATGTCCTTAGCGTCCTACACACGGCATAGAATGCTGGAGAGTAACAACCGCCACCAACAGATCATTGGCTCTTGCGAGAGATAAAAGGCATCCACTGGCCTAACACCATCCCCAATGATAGAGTACTACGAGAGATGCAAGCAGTTTCCGAACATATCTAAAAAAGAAGATGGCGCTGGATGGGGCACCTTAATAATAAATCCAGGTGATATCGCAGGAACGGCGCTAAACTGGACGCCTCAAGGAAAAAGTAAAAAAGGGAGACGTGGAGGCGGGGAAGCAGCTGGCAGAGGCAGGACTGTCATGGGGGACTGTCAGGAAGCAGCTGACAGAGGCAGGACTGTCATAGGGGACTGCCGGGAAAATTGCCGGAGATAGGCCAAAGTAGCGACCCAAAGTGTCTTGGGCACAAAATGGAAAAGATGATTGGTGATCTCATTGGTAGTTGTATTGATACTTTCATTAGCTTCAATGGTAATTTTATAGATATTTTTGTTTGTAGACTGCGAAAAAAAAGGTACTATTACACCGACTGCGGATTTTGGACCCTTCCAATGTATCTAACGCCCCCATTCGACAAACACAAGACTTAATGACTGCACACGTTGAAACAATGTCTTTACCCCAACCACGCATGACGAGTTAACGGCCGCTTTTCGTGTGGTCGGGACATGAAGCACCCCCGGGCCACTCACCCACAAAACACAATTGCTTGTTTGTTTGTGCCATGGACAATAAATGTATGCAAATCAGGGCGAAAGTCTCACATTAAACTTTACTAATGTGACTTTCTTGAAGGGAGACTATAACAAGGGAAGATAATTTGTTGCTTCTGTTCAAATGAAAGATTGGATTTTTTTTTTTTTTTTTTGGCGATTGGTGCGGTTCATTCCTAATGGTCACTAACTTCATGAGAGGACATCAATATATATATATATATATATATATATATATATATATATATATATATATATATATATATATATATATATATATATATATATATATATTGAAAAGTAACTAGTATAGCATTAGAAAGTAAGTAACATCTGAAGGCATATGTCCACAATATGTAAGGAAAATGGTACATAGATTAGTGGTGAATATGTTAGTAACAGATTAGTAAAAACAAACTCGTCAAAAGTGATTTAGGCTATTGCCATTATGAAACCCTAACCTCCATATAATAATTAAATATTGGTATATGAAAGTAGAATATATACTGTATACTGTATATAAGAACCGGGTATACAATTTCAGCACCATTACCACTTATATTGTCACTAGCCGTTGATTTATCCCATGAATTATCGGTCTATATATTTTAATGGTATACATTTGTTAGAAGAATTTTTTTATAAAATAGCTATTGGTCAAAACGCAATGTGCTTTATTACAGGTTTAACAATATTAGTGACAAAGCAAAGGAATAACTAAACAGCTAAAATTCCGACACATTTAAAATAACATAGGCTACTAATACCTATTAGAAAATATAATAACAAATTATATACATAATTAGTCAACACAACACCATATTAAATGCACACATTTGATTAAAAGACTTAAATGACTGCGTTAAAAATCCAGCTTTTCAGTGGTATTTATGTTGTTTTTTAAAGTAATTTGTATTAGTTTTAGCCGAGGAAATTGTATAAATTTCATAACGTAAATCTATAGATCTAAATCAAATTTTAAGAAAATAGTTCATTTCTTCGTATTCTAAAATTTGAAGACGACGCCATTGGTTTTGTGTACTTTCCGTAATTCAAAGATATGACATGTGACGTCATCGATTTCGGCGTTCTTGTCCCAACTATAAACACTTTCCCGGTTGCATAATTAAAACTGTTTTTCTACATTCGAATATGCCTTTTTTATTTATTTTTCTTCTTTAAATAAAATTTTTATTTATACATTTAAAACATCTACCATATTATTTTCAACAAAAGTCCGTATCAAGTTCTCCATATATCGCTGAAAATTCTGATGTGATATCTTGCGAAAATATTTCGCGGACAGAGAGAGAGAGAGAGAAGTGCGCACATGGTCTTTTATATATTAGGATGGAAATGGGATAATTTGTGCTGCTCCTATGGGATATTTTGTGCTGCTCGTATGGATATTTTGAGCTGCTCCTATGGGATAGTTTGTGTTACTCCTATGGGATAGTTTGTGCTGCTCCTATGGGATATTTTGTGCTGCTCCTGTGGGATAGTTTGTGCTGCTCCTATGGGATAGTTTGTGCTGCTCCTGTTGGATAGTTTGCTGTTCCTAAGGGATAGTTTGTGCTGCTCCTATGGGATAGTTTGTGCTGCTCCTATGGATAGTTTGTGCTGCTCCTGTGGGATAGTTTGCTGTTCCTAAGGGATAGTTTGTGCTGCTCCTATGGATAATTTGTATTGTACAGGTCCTATTTCTGCCCAACTAAAACCATCGACTTTTGGACAATCAGGTCCCCTCAAAAAATTTCACCCCAGCATAATCCATCCTACCTACACACCCACGCCCCAGCGGTGATCGTCTGCCGACGTCAGCGCGCGCAATCGTTATTTAAGGCGTGGCTCGTGTGGAGCTCTCCACTGTGGGAGTAGGAAGCCAGACAGCAAAAGTCGTTTGGTCGTCGGGAATTTCAAATTCTTACCTGGCTACGGTTTAGACATTTCAACATTTTAGAAGGTAGATTCTGTTTCTTAGTCAAAACATTTTAGAAGGTAGATTCTGTTTCTTAGTCAAAACATTTTAGAAGGTACATTCTGTTTCTTAGTCAAAACATTTGAGAAGGTAGATTCTGTTTCTTAGTCAAAACGTTTTAGAAGGTAGATTCTGTTTCTTAGTCAAAACATTTTAGAAGGTAGATTCTGTTTCTTAGTCAAAACATTTGAGAAGGTAGATTCTGTTTCTTAGTCAAAACATTTTAGAAGGTAGATTCTGTTTCTTAGTCAAAACATTTTAGAAGGTAGATTCTGTTTCTTAGTCAAAACATTTTAGAAGGTAGATTCTGTTTCTTAGTCAAAACATTTTAGAAGGTAGATTCTGTTTCTTAGTCAAAACATTTTAGAAGGTAGATTCTGTTTCTTAGTCAAAACATTTTAGAAGGCACATTCTGTAAATTAGTTATAAAATTATTTTTGCGGTAGATTCTGTTTACTGGTCAAAACATTTTAGAAGGCACATTCTGCTAATTAGTTCTAACATTATTTTTGAAGATAGATTCTGTTAATTAGTCAAAACATTTTAGAAGGCACATGCTGCTAATTAGTTCTAATATTATTTTTGCAGGTAGATTCTGTAAATTAGTTATAAAATTATTTTTGAGGTAGATTCTGTTTACTTGTCAAAACATTTTAGAAGGTAGATTCTGTTTCTCAGAAAAAACATTAGTTAAGAAGGTATATTCTGTTTCTTAGACAAAACATTAGTTAAGAAGGTAGATTCCGTTTATCAGTCAAAACAGTTTGGAAGAAAGTTTTCTTGCTACGAAAGAATCAACAATCCAGTAAGGTAAAAGTATATACTGTTATGTCACTAAAATATATTTTCACATAGATCTATCTCATGGTTTTAAAAACAATTACGAGTTTTAAAGCTTGAACTATAATGCATAATGTTTTCCTATTCATTGTATGTATTTGCTATAGTTTTGTAACGATTTGTATCGCCCTAATTTCACCATTCAATGTTATTTGTCTCATTAGGAAGCGTTGATTAAGTTTTCTATTTAGAATTATACAATGGGGTTTTCTAAACTATCAAATATATTCGTTGAATTCTATCCTTTAGAGTTAAACCCAATGCAAATTTTAGTACATTATCCTTGTATATCCTTACACATAACAAATAAAAATAAATACAAGTCTCACATATAAGTACACGAATTCTAAATAATTTAGAAGACTATATAGTTGAAACGTCGAAATTATAAGTAGATCTATCGCGAACTTTAAAATATTGAATCGTGCACAAATAAGTTCCATCATTACTAAATTAATTAAATGTCACCATTAATTAAATGACAGTGTTGAAATGATGTGTGTGAACTAGGTCCGTAAGGGGTATCAAACTGGTGGTAGGACAATGCGAGTTAGCTTGGTGTTTGAAGATCTAGGGTTCAATTATAACTTGGGTATCAAATTGATGGTTGAACAATGCGAGTTAGCTTGCTGCTTGAAGATCTAGGGTTCAATTATAACTTGGGTATCAAATTGATGTTTGAACAATGCGAGTTTTTAAATTATAACTTAAGTGTAACATTTAATTAATATTACAAATTCAATATGTAAAATTAGAGAGCTTTAATTATTTTCTCGAACGTTTGGATTTTCTTTTTTTTTCTCTCACGTATAGAGAAAGTATTGAAATCGTGCAAAAAGAAAATCGAGATTTTTGCAAATTTCGACGTTTTACACCTCCCTGAGTCGGAAAAACATAGTTTTGCAATCTTGTCCGTAGGGTCTGTATGTGTGTATATGTGTCTATGTGTGTGTATGTGTGTCTGTGAACAAGATAACTTGAGTACCGTTACAGCTAGGTTGATGAAATTTCATATATAAGTATTATATCAAATTTGTAGATCTGTATCAACTTTTCAGCAATTTCCGATAACCGGAAGTTGAACTTTTTCTAGTTTCAAATTTTTCAAAAGCCTATAACTTAAGTACTATTTCAGATAGATATATACATGTAAGTACAAGGTCTATTTCTCTGCCTTCTGTCAAATTTTGAGTAATTTTCGTTGACCGAAATTCAAAAAACACATGTGAATTTATAAAGTACTAATTATATACAGCACTCTTATACACATTTTGTTATGGCGTTCACCTGGTGCGCAATTCTTTTTTCTGTGCGATTCTATTCTATTTTAAAACTTTTATGTAACTAATAAACCGGGAGTGATCTCCCCTACACTTTCTCGAATATTCTTATATAAAACAGGGGATGGCAACTCAGGATACATGCATAATTTTAATCCATTTAAAATACTTAAACTTTTAAAAATGGAATAGAATCTCGTAGAAAAAAGAATTGCACACCGAGCGAACGCCAAATACAATGTGCAATATAGTGCGGAATATTATTAGTACTTTATAAATCAAAAATTATAATCGGAAATGGCGAAAATTACTACTTCTGGTCAACAGAAATTACTCAAAAGCTCCACTTCCGTTTATCGGAAATCACTTAAAAGTCGATACGATTTTGATATAAAACGCTCTGACACCCCTCTCGCTCCACAATATTTAAAAGCTATTTGATTTGATTTCTTCAAGTTTGATGTGATTTCTTCAAGTTGATGTGATTTCTTCAAGTTGATGTGATTTCTTCAAGTTTATGTGATTTCTTCAAGTTGATGTGATTTCGACAAGTTGATGTGATTTCTTCAAGTTGATGTGATTTCGTCAAGTTTGATGTGATTTCTTCAAGTTTGGTTGGTTTCCCGCAGAATTGTCGACAAAAATTTTCTGCAGTTTTCGTCTTTTAATTAAAATATAAATTAATAGTGAAAATCTACCCAAGTAAAAATTAAAATGTAGTTTTTGGATTATTGGAGTTAAAATGAAGGGCGATAAAACTGATAAAAATAAAGGTAGATTATTTTAGTAAATATTATGAAAGGCTGTTCCGTTGAAAATAAATGACGATTTTTGTCTTAACTATAAAGAGAAGTTGTTAGAGTAAAATACACGTCGACTATTTAATAAAAATAAATATCGATTTATTTAAGTTAAAAAAGTTTGATGATTTGAGTAAATTTAAAGGGAGGTTATTCGAGAAAATATATATCTATTATTTGAATAAAAATAAAGTTGAACTGCTTGAATTTTTAAAATGGTCGATTATTTCAGTCAAAATCGGCTATTCGAGTTATAATAAACAGTGGTCAATCGAGAAAATATAAATATCGATTATTTGAGTGAAACAAAGGATGATTATTTGAGTGAAGTAAAGGGCGATTATTTGAGTGAAATATAGGCCGATTATTTAAGTTAAATAATGGGCGATTATTTGAATAAAAATATAGAAGGATTACATTAGTAAAAAAATAAAAGCTTATAAAATACACTGCTATTATTTCAGTAAAAATAGAGCACGATTGTTGAGTTAAAATAAAGGGCGATTATTATTTAAATAAAATACAAGCATGCCAAGAAGATTGCACACAGAATGCTTGTAAAACCAGGCCCACCTTTTAATGTTTGCTTATGATGAATGTGTTTGAATCGATTGTACAAAAAAATTATTCTACAGGCTCTCTATCTTCTTTATGCTAAAAATTGATATGCTTAAAATGACGGCAATCATCGCTGGGCTAATGATCTAACGAAAATTGAGGCAGGTTTTAGAAATAATTTTTGTGTTTGTTTTTATAGTTGTGTCTATGAAAGAAAACATCTTTTTATATTTAGGGGTAAAAGATTTCCAATAGCGATACATTTGTGACAGAGTTTATTCAGGGGCTGGGAGACAACTCGGGGTTAAAGTGCAATCAATTATCGCGCCTAGCATTGCGATTGGTCGGTCCGGAATCTAGGCAATATATTTGTCCTAAGTATAGGCAGTGTGTTAATCCCATAGGCAGGAAATTATTTAGTTCTGAAATCTAGGCAATATATTTGTCTTAAGTATAGGCAGTGTGTTAGTCCCATAGGCAGGAAATAATTTAGTTCCGAAATCTAAGCAATATATTTGTCCTAAGTATAGGCAGTGTGTTAGTCCCATAGGCAGGAAATAATTTAGTTCCGAAATCTAAGCAATATATTTGTCTTAAGTATAGGCAGTGTGTTAGTCCCATAGGCAGGAAATAATTTAGTTCCGAAATCTAAGCAATATATTTGTCTTAAGTATAGGCAGTGTGTTAGTCCCATAGGCAGGAAATAATTTAGTTCCGAATTATAGGCAACAAATTAGTTCTGTTGTTAGCTAATAGCGATATTAGGAGGGTGTTAGGTTATAGCGATATTAGGAGGGTGTTAGCTTATAGCGATATTAGGAGGGTGTTAGGTTATTGCGATATTAGGAGGGTGTTAGCTTATAGCGATATTAGGAGGGTGTTAGCTTATTGCGATATTAGGAGGGTGTTAGCTTATTGCGATATTAGGAGGGTGTTAGCTTATTGCGATATTGGGAGGGTGTTAGCTTATTGCGATATAAGAAGGGTGTTAGCTTATAGCGATATTAGGAGGGTGTTATCTTAAAGCGATATTAGGAGGGTGATAGCTCTTAGTATATGACTAATGTGGCGACTAAATTACTTTTCTCCGTCTTCAATAATCAAATCAAAATAAAGGGACAACGGCAGTCGTTGATGTGATTGATGTGATAAAACAATAAATTCCAGTTGTATTTACACGAATACATTATCTCATAAGACACCATAAGCACCAGTCGTATTTACACTAATACACCATCTCATAAGACACCATAACACTAGTTGTTTTCATACGAATACACCATCTCATAAGACACCATAATTACCTATTGCTTTTTTTTCTTAACGTTAAGATCCTTAAGGGCTATGAATGCAAATTCTAGTCTGTATGTTTGTAATGGTCCTTATACCCTCCTTATATTCTGGTCTGTATGCTTGTAATGGCCCCCATACCGCCCATATATTCTAGTCTGTATGCTTGTAATGGTCCCTATACCGCCCATATATTCTAGTCTGTATGCTTGTAATGGTCCCTATACCGCCCATATATTCTAGTCTCTATGCTTGTAATGGTCCTATACCGCTCATATATTCTAGTATGTATGCGTGTAATGGCCCCTTTACCCTCCATATATTCTAGTCTGTATGCTTATAATGGTCCTATACCGCCCGTATATTCTAGTCTGTATGCGTGTAATGGCCCCTATACACAAAAAGGCCATCTGTATATCATTAACGTGTATCTATCATGTCTCTGGCTCTGACCCTGCAACGATGCGGTACAAGACCTGAGCTCAGCTTTAGTTTCGCACACATGCATACATATGTTGCCGTTAGTTTCGTAGACCGATATACATCTGTATATTTTAACACTTCCCGTTTGAGAGCGGATATTCCCAAAGGGTGTCACCGGCTCCTTGTGTTGGCTGAGATTTGATAAAATTATGCTTTGTTTTTTTTATCTACTGGGTAGCTACTTTTTAGCGGGTGCGATGTTTTTAGTTGGACTTTCTGAGTTTAATCTTTTTAAACTTTAGCCTCCAATTTCTATATAAATGATATAAATTTCATTTCGTTCGGGGGGGGGGGGGGGCGTGCCTGGAAGAAAATCTGGTAAGGAAACTGGTGCGATCAGTAACACAGCTGGCACGGGGGGGGGGGGGGGGGGGCTGAGAAGTAAAAGTACACAAACTGTAGCCAAGAGATGGTCCGCTGTCGTTCTATACTCGTACACATCTACAAACCTATAGACGTACACACGTATATACCTACACACCTATACAATTATACAGTTACACACTTACAGACCTACACAACTATACACATACATATTACACACATATATACTTGCACACGTATGCAACTACACAACTATACACCTACGCACCTGTACCCTCTTACAAACACTTACAGACCTACACTCGTATACACCTACACACCTACACAACTACAACCTACACACCTATACACATACATCTACACACCTATACACATACACACCTATACACATACATCTACACACCTATACACCTACATACCTATCCACATGTACACCTATTCACCTATTTACCCATGCACCTATAGAAAACACAGATGCCCAAAGGTTTAGACATACCATAATAAATTGGAGTAAATGATAACTGATTCAAGTAAATGTTAAGTATTTGAAGTAAACTTTAATTGTTTCAAGTAAATGCTAACTTTTTCAAGTAATTGTTAACTGTTTCAAGTGACTGTTAACCTTTTCAAGTAAATGTTAACTGTTTCATGATGTCAAAGTTGAAACGTAAGCTAGACTTAAAAGAAGAAATTAATTGTTCTTCCGTTCTCTTGCCGTCAAGTCTAATTTAAAAAGACACACTATTTTCATAGGAGTGGGGGAGGATTAGGATTGGGGAGGGGTCTCTGGGATTGGGGTGGGGTTGAAGGTGTTTATATTTATAAGTTTGTTAAATCTAGGCGGAAGTGGATGCATCAGGTGGATCTGTCAGGTGGATGCATCAGGTGGATCTGTCAGGTGGATGCATCAGGTGGATCTGTCAGGTGGATGCATCAGGTGGATCTGTCAGGTGGATGCATCGGGTGGATCTGTCAGGTTCTCATAGAAGTCATGAGCGGTGGTGGAATCAAAGGGCGACGATCCAACTAATCGGACATCTACTCTTTTTACAAGCTTTTATTTAACTCATTTCCTCTGTCGTCGCCAGTCTGTCGTCAGTCTAGATCGAAACGCAGGAGTGAAAATTCGGAAACTTCTACTTGACCGATACGATTCACATTTGACACGTGGGTCAAGACATGAAGACAATGCAATCTGAAACTAAATTTGACTTAATTGGATGCCTAATTAATTTTTTATGAATTAATAAAAATTTGGACCGAATTAGTAGGCATGTCTAGCCAACCACACCACACGCGTCATCACCTTCAATAGCTGCGCCATCACGTTCAATGGCTGCGCTCAAAAACCATTGCGCGCCTACTGAACGTGATGTTCAGTAGGCGCGCAATGGTTTTTAGTCATGTAACTCTATTGTAAATAAAACATGTAAAGTACTGAAAAAAAATTCATAAAAAACGTTTTAATAACAAGCTTTTATGTAATAATGCACTAAAAAGTAGAAAATAAATTATAGACTACTATTTAAATAACTATAAAGAAAAGCGTGGGTGTCTCTTTAACATTAGTAAAGGTATCCAATAGATACTAAAGTGACCCACGCTTTTCTTTATAGTTATTTAAATAGTAGTCTATAATTTATTTTCTACTTTTTAGTGCATTATTACATAAAAGCTTGTTATTAAAACGTTTTTTATGAAAAAAAAATTTCTGTATCGTTCTTAATTAGTTAATTAAGTGTTTTATTATCTATCTGCATCAATAACATAAAAGGTGTGACACATTTACAAGATGAAGCATGTAATTAGCTTAATTAACGCCACCACAAACAAGATCAGTTAAATTTATACTGCAGCAGTTTTTAGCCAATCAGCGTGGCAGAACAACCGGAAGTGCTGAATTATTTACCGGTATCCGCCCGGGGTGGGGCTGGGGGCAAGCATAAACTGATCACAGACAACAATAACATGACGCAATAAAAATCATTCTATATTCCGTCGAGTGATCGAACTCGATATTCAGGATGAACTGTGAAGAGTATTTTCCCAAGTAATTAGCGCCGAAAGATTAATTAATTTTTGTTTTAAAAGATGGCCAATGCGTACTCGAGTTTTAAACTTTAAAAAAAATGCATCAATCGGCGCCTCAAAAGAATTGAGTCAAATTCTTGAGTTCGTTTTATGATTGTGGGTTCATGGTTTATTTCAAGATGTGTGGGTTTATTTCAAGATAGGTGGGTTTATTTCAATATGTGTGGGTTTATTTCAAGATAGGTGGGTTTATTTCAAGATAGGTGGGTTTATTTCAAGAGGTGTGGGTTCATGGTTTATTTCAAGATGTGTGTGTTTGTTTCAAGATGTGTGGGCTAAAGTTTATTTCAAGATATGTGGGGTTATTTCAAGATGTGTTGGTTTATTTCAAGATGTGTTGGTTTATTTCAAGATGTGTTGGTTTATTTCAAGATGTGTTGGTTTATTTCAAGATGTGTTGGTTTATTTCAAGATGTGTGGGCTAAAGTTTATTTCAAGATGTGTGGGTTTATGGTTTATTTCACGATGTGTGGGTTTATGGTTTATTTCACGATGTGTGGGTTTATGGTTTATTTCAAGATGTGTGGGTTTATTTCACGATGTGTGGGCTATGGTTTATTACAAGATAAAATCCTGGGCGCTCACTAATGGAAAATGCTTTCCCTTGTATAGCATATTATAAGACGTTCAATTCGCATTATTTAGCGCATTGGCTTATATCTTTCGTCGTACCACCATATAACTTTAGTAAGGCAACACCATTTTTCTAATTGTGAATTTTGTGCGATTTGTGATTATAATAAAAGCCGTTTTCCTTAAAAAAAATATTGTTTTGTGATATTTATTTTCCACTTGTTAGTCATTTTTACTTTGTCGAATACGAAGTTAGAGGAAGTATTGTAACCCTGCAAAAAAATTTGAAATCTAAATTTTCACAAATCTCGAAGTTTTACACCCCTTGAGTCGGAAAAACGTAGTTTTGTTATCTTCTCTGTATGTATGTGTGTCTCTGTGTGTGTGTCTATGTGTGTGTCCGTGTGTCTGTGAACACGATAACTTGAGTTTTGTTACAGCTAGGCTTACAAAATGTCATTTTCGAACGCCTATAACTTGAGTAGGGCCTACAATTAAGTAAAATATATAATTCTCTGTTTTCTGTCATATATTGAGTAATTTCCGTTTACCGGAAGTAGTACTTTACGCTATTTCCGTTGTTTTTTTTTTAAACGCATGTGAATTTATAAAGCACTAACGTCGCTCACACATTGTTTCCTGTTCACTTGGTGCGCAATTATTTTTTTCTACGAGATTCTATTATATTTTTAAAAGTTTAAGTATTTTAAAATGGATTTAAAAATCATGTCTATATCCCGAGTTGCCATCCCCGTAGTGTTATATTAGAAAATTCGAGAAAGTTTAGGGGAGATCACTCCCACTTTTTTTTTGTTAAGCTTAGACTAAAAAATGTTGCGCCAGGATCCTTACAGTAGCTTGTGATATCTGTCATTCAGTTACCTGCCCCTGAATACCTGGTTGACGAAATCAGCCAACCGTGAACTGAAGAAAGTTCAGCCTCGATGGCGTCTGATCGGACTATCGCTATTTTTAAAAATCTGTTTATCTCCCCTTTCATTTTTGAAAGTAGTAATTTTAAATTAAATTTAATGACTAATTATCTAATTATTTTTTTTAATCGGATATTCGTTTATTGTTATCCAAGACCTACCATTGTGCCAAATGTCAGCTCAATCTGACAAAGGGAAGTGGGTTAAATTAATATTCCAATACACACAAACATACTGAGCAAGTTAAACAAATGCCTTTAAAAAACCGATAACACACTACCCCCGTTCAACCAGGGACGTGACCCCTGCGGGTTAAAAATAAAACCCAAATTCGGTACAAGAAAACACATCGATGACGTGAGACACATGTGATTTATCACACTTCACAGATTTCCTTCATTTAAACATGGACATGTGTAGGATGAGATCACGTGACATTTTTTTTACCCCCTTTCAGCTGCGTGAGTCAACATCAGCTCTAGACAAGCTGATATATGTGGCTATCTTTAGGTTAGGTCGGGCCTTCTGTAGGTTAGGTCGGGCCATCTGTAGGTTAGGTCGGGCCATCTGTAGGTTAGGTCGGGCCATCTGTAGGTTAGGTGTAGCACGGGCCATCTGTAGGTTAGGTGTAGCACGGGCCATCTGTAGGTTAGGTGTAGCACGGGCCATCTGTAGGTTAGGTCGGGCCATCTGTAGGTTAGGTCGGGCCATCTGTAGGTTAGGCCGGGCCATCTGTAGGTTAGGTGTAGCACGGGCCATCTGTAGGTTAGGTGTAGCACGGGCCATCTGTAGGTTAGGTGTAGCACGGGCCATCTGTAGGTTAGGTGTAGCACGGGCCATCTGTAGGTTAGGTCGGGCCATCTGTAGGTTAGGTGTAGCACGGGCCATCTGTAGGTTAGGTGTAGCACGGGTCATCTGTAGGTTAGGTCGGGCCATCTGTAGGTTAGGTCGGGCCATCTGTAGGTTAGGTCGGGCCATCTGTAGGTTAGGTTGACCCATCTGTAGGCTAGGTGTAGCACGGGCCATCTGTAGGTTAGGTCGGGCCATCAGTAGGTGTAGCACGGGCCATCTTTAGGTTAGGTATAGCATGGGCCATCTGAAGGTCAGGTGAGGGTAGCTAAGCACCCCTGCACCCCCTTCACCCCCCCCCCCCCCCTTGCACCCACCCCCTATTTCTATAACCATCCATCCTACAATCCAAGGACTAACCATGTTCTATCCTTTTGTTTTTCAGTCCTACTTGACCTACCAGATATACATAAGCAACACTCAAGCTATAAATAACCTAAGAACTAAAAATAACTATGGTGTACCCGAGAATTGCTGACGTCTTTGCTGTTGTCATGTGTTGTCTCCTCGTGCTGCCCTCTATATCTTGTGAGTATTGTAACATGTCATGGGTTCAAATCCCATGTTTACTTTTGGTAGAACAACATTTGCTCATGTAAACCAGTAGTTAGCAGTCGGCCATATTCCCACCAAGGGATCGCTGTCAGGTTCCGGGGTGGGGGGGGGGCGATAAAAGCTTCTGATTCTTCTTAATATTGCTACTCAATTTTTCTCCATGATACTGTATCCATGGTAATTGACCTAAACAACTTAATATCTAACAAAACATACTTTGAATACCAAATAATGTAGCTCGGTTGACCCTAGCAAGAATAGTCTCTATTCGAGAGGCCTATTCAATATTTTAAAAAGCATGTATGGTGTAATTTTAATTAATATGGTTTTAAATCCTGACTGGTTTTTTTCTCGGACTTTAAAAAAGAGTGGATGTATTTGACGTTTTAGTATTTTTGGTAATTAAACGCATTTTTTTTTTTTAAATTGGCAAAAGCAATGTGGTTACTAGCATAAATTTTAGTATACAAAATGTAAAAGAAATAATTGCAGAACTAGGTCATGTGGTTTAAAATAGCATTATGCTATTCAAAAACTTTTTCTGCAAAGTTTTGTAAATAACTATCGATCACTGAGTTCCTGTACAGCCAATCAATGTTTGTCTTACGAAAGTGAAACATCCGGTTTTAACTTGGGCTTGATGAAAATAAATAGAAATGTAGCCTCAAACTAAGTTGTAACCCCCACTAACTACCACCCCCCCCCCCCTGCCTACACCACTGTATTGAACTTAGATTTCAAAAACATTAAATTTCTTAATTATTTTTAAGCTTAAGTTGTTGTTTTTTAAGTCTAAATGATTTTTTTAAACGAATCTGATCCATGTCAACAATATGTCGAAGTGTGAGTATGTGCCTTTGGTTCCTCCAACAATTCACATTTAACTGCTTGATGTTGCAGCTTACATACTTATCGATGGCGTGCAACCACAATACCACACAACTAACAAGAAGAACGATCAACGATCGGTGAGACTAATATATAGTTACATACATACGTACTTAAAAATATATACAACTGTATACGTACAACCCCTGTTAAAATTCAGAGTATACTAGACGACATTGTCGTCCGCTGGATAACGTCCAATATGTGGTGTACATTTTTTTAAATTTAATTTATCATCTTTTTCCGTTTGTGTTCAAGTAACACATGGGACAGCTGAAGTAGAGCTCATCTGTTTCATTTACCTCGACATACAAGGGGATAGTGGGGTCTGCATCATGCCCAGCAGCTTTTGTTTCATTAAAATGTGTCAGTTACCCATCAGAGCTGGGTGAACTCAGGGGCACTCTACAGACTAGAGCCCGGGATCCGAATTCGAAACTATTGAGTTAGCAGTCTAACAAAAAAGCATGGTTCGCTCAGTAAGTTTTACTAAGGGGGTTCGATGCATGAACCCATGCTCTTTTATAGATGTGTACAGGGCGGTTCTCTATAATATTCTTTAATCTCTTTTAGTTCATGAATAAAAGTTTGTTATTAAAACGTTTTTTTTTCTCCATTAATTGGAATTGATTTATGCGCGATTCTAAGTTTCATTTTAACTAAATATGCTCAATACCACATTGATGCATAGAGCCTATATATATTTTATTAATTAACATAACTGTTGAATCATAATTACATTAATTTATATATTGTATATTTAATTTATTTTAAACTGTTTTCTTTTTCTACTAGTCAAGACGGGGAAGTGGGGTAAGTTTTGTTGTGGTTATCAGCGGTTGTTGAATTGTGTCTAAAAGATTGTATTGTCTGTTGTAGTTTCACAAGAGTGATCTTAATAAGTAAACATTATCCTTAGGTAGGTTTGTACTGACTGAGTACTTCAAATAGTTTGGTCCAAGGAACGAAGAAACAAATGTACCAGAGAAATACATGTAACAAAGGAAAAATAAAGAGGGAGTATCTCCCCTAAACTTTCTCGATAATACTTATAAAACACTACAGGGGATAGCAATTCGGGATATAGACACGATTTTTGATCGATTTTTAATTAATTAAACTTTTAAAAGTAGAATAGAATATCATTAAAAAAAGAATTGCGCACCCAGTGAACAGCTAAGAATGTGTGTATAATAGTGCAGAATATTAGTACTTTATAAATTCATATGCGTTTTTTTTAGATATCGGAAATAGCATTAAGTACTACTTCCTGTCACCGGAAATCACTCAAAATTTGACAGAAGGCAGAAAATTAGATCTTTTACTTTTATGTGAAATTTTGTCTATCTATCTGAAACAGTACTCAAGTTATAGACTTTTGAAAAACCAAAATTAAAATAAGTTTTTCTTTTACCGGAAATCGCTGAAAAGATGATACAGAACAGTATATTTAATTTAATCCTTATATATGAAATTTCATCAACCTAGCTGTTCAAGTTATCGTGTTCACAGACACAGACACACACATTCAGAGACAGACATACGGACGAAATTGCAAAACTATGTTTTTCCGACTCAGTGAGGTGTAAAACGTTGAGATTTGTGAAAATCTCGATTTCGATTTATTTCACGTTTACAATACTTCCTCTATACTTCGTATACGAGAAAGTAAAAAAACACAAGAAACAACGTGAAAAAATGAAAGCAGGGGACAAGTTCTGAAAAGGGACAAAAAAAAACATCTGTACATCTATCTACACAATACAAAATAATAACGAAATTGATATTTTAAGTAGATCTATCTACACAAGACAAAATATGAAAATACAACTTACAGCAAACTACCGTCAAATTATAAAATACATTCAATAAAACATTCACCCGCTCAAATAAAAAAATTCATTTTTGTTTTAATTTTTTTTAACCGAATGGTTTTGGCACAAACTTCTATATATATAATTTAATAGTCCGCTTGCATTGAAAGTGGCACCTGTTTCATAATTATATACGAGAAAGTTTAGGGGAGATCACTCCCGCTTTATTTTCCATAATTGTTAATACAATTGAGTTTCATGACTAAAAACTATCGTACACCAAATGAACATGATGAATCGTGTATAAAAGTGCGGAAAAGTAGTTGGACACCCTACTAATTTCAGAAAATATTAATTCATTCATTAAAAAATTAATTAGGCATCCAATTATGTCAAAATTGATGTCATATTGCATTGTCATTGGGTCTTGACCCACGTACCAAGTTTGAAACGAATCGGTCATTTAGAAGTACTCGAAATTTTTCTCGGCAGTTTCGATCTATGACGACAGGAAGACAGACAAAAAACACGACAGACAGACAAGTTAAATAAAAGCTTGTAAAAACTGGGGAAAATGAAATAATGTGACAATGAAACAAAACACAATGAAACACGAATATATATATATATATATATATATATATATATATATATATATATATATATATATATATATATTTATGTATATATATATATGTGTATATATATATATATATATATATATATATATATATATATATATATATATATATATATATATATATATATATATATATATATAACAAAGAATGCGCGAAAAAACCAACTGTAACAAATCGACAAAGAAATAAAATGTAAATAACAAATGCATAAACATTGATAAAATCAAACTACAAATCAAAATGTTTTTAATCATGCAATACTCTTATCTATCTGTTAGCAAGCATTCTATTGTGTTGGATTTTATTTTTAATTCCACATTGAACTTTTTAAACATTTTTTCTAAAACTTTTAACGTTACCAGGATAGGTGCAGTAGTTTCTCATAAGTGTTATTGGTTGGTGTGTTCGTCTGTAACTGCAGTCTTCATATTTTATATCTGGTCTGGACATTGCCCAGTGTTGTTCACCCCCCCCCCCCCCCCCCCACGAAAATATCCAGCGCCCCCATAAAATAAATGTGCGCCACATTTTATTGTTTGTAAAGATCATGAAAGTTACTGTTAATTATTTCTAATGTAAATTTTCTTTCCTGGCGGCTTCGTACAGGGCGGATGGGTACGTATATCTACAGCTGCATGTATAGGTACATGTGTATGTATGCACCTGAGAATGTGCACCCATGTATAGGTACATGTGTATGTATACACCTGAGAATGTGCACCCATGTATAGGTACAAGTGTATGTATGCACCTGAGAATGTGCACCCATGTATAGGTATATGTATATGTATGCACCTGAGAATGTGCACCCCGCCCCCCCCCCCCCGAAACGATATGCATGATTACATTCTCTCATGTCCATCACATCCCTACCTTCACCTCCCCACCCCCCACTCCCTACCCCTAACCCTCACCTCCCCACCCTCATCTCCCTACCCCTCACCTCCCCACCCTCACACCCCCACCCCTCATCTCCCTACCTTCACCTCCCCACCCCTCATCTCCCTACCCCTCACCTCCCCACCCCCACACCCTACCCCTATGTCTCATTTGGTTTCTAAAATGGATTTTTAAACAGCTACACCCAATGGGACGCTTTAAATATTTGTTAAAAGGATGTTGTACTATTGTGTTGTACTGTTGTGTTGTACTGTTGTGTTATAGTGTTGTGTTGTAGTGTTGTGTTGTACTGTTGTGTTATAGTGTTGTATTGTACTGTTGTGTTATAGTGTTGTATTGTACTGTTGTGTTGTAGTGTTGTGTTGTAGTGTTGTGTTATAATGTTGTGTTGTAATGTTGTGTTGTACTGTTGTGTTGTAGTGTTGTGTTGTACTGTTGTGTTGTACTGTTGTGTTGTAAAGTATTGTTGTTTTATTCTTGTGTGTGTTGATGTTGGAACGATCTAACTAATTTCTCGACTGTTTAAATGTTAACAATCAACAACCTAAGACAATAACTTTATCCACAACAAACATATAATGTATTTCACTTTTTAGCATAACGTTGGAAGTATTAAAAAAACAACTAACAATTCAAAGTTTCTAAATAGACTTGACATACGTCAGTAACAAAAAAACTTGTCTACTGTGACTGACATTAGTATGTGACTAAACAAACTTGACCCAATAACTAATGTCAATAGTTTTTGTTTCTTCCCCTGCCGCTACAGTTGGTAAGTTGTGAAACTTTTTTTCTAATTTTGTCATCCAACTGGAATCTTGTTACCATTTTTTTGGAATTCACACCATCATACTCAGTGCAAGAGCTACTTAGGCTACATTATTTATTAATAGAAACCAGCTTTTAACTGATCATTGTCCCAGTAATTTGTCTTTGTAAGATTTTAACAAATCGCACTGATTTTAATAATTAGTTGAACATAGACATGACATCTTTACTGATTCCTATCGTGTACATATATATATATATATATATATATATATATATATATATATATATATATATATATATATATATATATATATATATATATATAATTATATATATATATATGGTCTTTGTTTACGTCCAAAATAATTAACTGATTCAGTAAAAGATTATTACCTATCGGCTATTAGAGGATGTTTCACATGGGACCGACAACTCCACCAATTTATGATTACGTCCCTTGAAGGAGACCTCCAGTTTCAAGTACCGAGCCATCTCATGATAGCTTCCTCTCAAAGGGTTCCCGTTCCCCAGTTAAATGTCAATATTGTACCTTTAAACTCTTACTCCCAAAAAATGATGAAAATAGAAACACTAGCTCCGACGGGCAATATAACAAGTGTTTGACAGAAGATATTGCCTGAGTTTTTTTTCTTGCTCACAACTTTAAAAAAGAATTGTTTCAATATCTTATGATGAGGACTAAGGGATGTACATTTTCAACATATCTAAGAAACATTCATTTAGTTCTGCATTACTTACAATTAACTTATCTGCTTGAGTATTGTAGGCTCAGCTATTATTGTAAAATTGTCGTTAATCTCTGGTCCAACCGGACATTTGGTTGACATTTCACCAAGCCGGTCATTAATGTTTTATAATATACTTGAATTCAAAAAACTGAAATTATTTTTAAAAAACCTAGTAGAAAAAGTTAACTGAATTCAGTTAAATTAAAAACATTTATTAATACAGATGTTAATATTAAAATATTTTTGTAAACACATGTCATTCTAATCCTCGTTAACTTTTTTTTTCAAAACACGGTCGTTGTTTTCAGATTTGTCAGGTGAGTTTCTTTTTGTACTCACGGGGCCATTCTTTCATGGGGTCATTATGTCATGGGATCATTGAGTCGGAGGGGGGGGGGGGGGGTACTTAGTTATGGGGTTACTCTATCATATACTTTTCTATAATAATTAATCATATCCTATGGCGAGCTTATGTTCATTAATTAACCAAATTAAATACAATAATTTGAGATACAGCAGTACTGAATAACACATACATGGTTTATTTTTACATCTTTAGATGGCTCCGAGGGTAAGTATTTTATTTTATATTTTTGACTAGCGAGTTAGCTTTTAAGTGTCATTTATTTATTGGGTGATGTTGTGTCGTGGTGATGTTGTGGTGATGTTGTATTGGAATGATGTGTTTAGTTGATGTTGTATTGGGGTGATGCTGTGTTTAGTTGATGTTGTGTTGGAGTGATGTTGTGTTTAGATGATGTTGTGTTGGAGTGATGTTATTTTGGGGTGATGTTGTGTTTAGATGATGTTGTGTTGGAGTGATGTTATGTTTAGTTGATGTTGTGTTGGAGTGATGTTGTGTTTAGTTAATGTTGTGTTGGAGTGATGTTGTGTTTAGATGATTTTTGTTGGAGTGATGTTGTGTTTAGTTGATGTTGTGTTGGAGTGATGTTGTGTTTAGTTAATGTTGTGTTGGAGTGGTGTTGTGTTTAGTTGATGTTGTGTTGGAGTGATGTTATGTTTAGTTGATGTTGTGTTGGAGTGATGTTTTGTTTAGATGAGGTTGTGTTGGAGTGATGTTTTATTTAGATGAGGTTGTGTTGGAGTGCTGTTTTATTTAGATGAGGTTGTGTTGGAGTGATGTTTTATTTAGATGAGGTTGTGTTGGAGTGATGTTTTATTTAGATGAGGTTGTGTTGGAGTGATGTTTTATTTAGATGAGGTTGTGTTGGAGTGATGTTTTATTTAGATGAGGTTGTGTTGGAGTGATGTTTTATTTAGATGAGGTTGTGTTGGAGTGATGTTTTATTTAGATGAGGTTGTGTTGGAGTGCTGTTTTATTTAGATGAGGTTGTGTTGGAGTGATGTTTTATTTAGATGAGGTTGTGTTGGAGTGATGTTTTATTTAGATGAGGTTGTGTTGGAGTGATGTTTTATTTAGATGAGGTTGTGTTGGAGTGATGTTTTATTTAGATGAGGTTGTGTTGGAGTGATGTTTTATTTAGATGAGGTTGTGTTGGAGTGATGTTTTATTTAGATGAGGTTGTGTTGGAGTGATGTTTTATTTAGATGAGGTTGTGTTGGAGTGATGTTTTATTTAGATGAGGTTGTGTTGGAGTGATGTTTTATTTAGATGAGGTTGTGTTGGAGTGATGTTTTATTTAGATGAGGTTGTGTTGGAGTGATGTTTTATTTAGATGAGGTTGTGTTGGAGTGATGTTTTATTTAGATGAGGTTGTGTTGGAGTGATGTTTTATTTAGATGAGGTTGTGTTGGAGTGATGTTTTATTTAGTTGATGTTGTGTTGGAGTGATCATGTGCTGGGGATAAATGTTTATTGAGGTGATGTTTTCTGTAAGTGACGATGTTTAATTTTGTGATTATTATTTTTTGTGATTATTTTATCTTTTATGTAATGTTTTGTGTTATATGGGAATTTCCGATGATGTGTATATTTATAAAAGCTTACGTTGGGTCTTGTTACTAAAATGTTATACGTCATAGTTTGATAAAATGTTAATACAACGTTTCAATTCATTCAGCTTACCTAATTTTATGCCGAATCACTTAGTACCTAATGAATATGACTTAGATGGGTTTATTTCTTTTGATATTTTTGTAAAATATTAAAGATAGTTGAATAAAAAATAGCCATTAAATATCTAATTAAAAACGTCCTGAAATCAACTTGAAACAAGGATGTTTCAAGTACAAAAACTTCCAGCTGCTGCGTTACAAAAATATAATTTAGAGTAGCTTCCCATTCTGTTATTTTGCATGTAAATGTTTTGATGTTTGCTTTTAAATATGAATCCTGTTAATAATATATAAAGCTTTTTTTTCAAATTAGAAATTAGAAATATACATTTTTGTGTGTGATCTAACGAGTATTGATGTAGAACGTCACATATTTCACTAACCTTTGAACTTTTCTACACATTCAGAGCTTGTTGTTAACATTCTATGTCTGAAAGTTTTCATATATACCTTACGACATGAATGGTGAACTCCTTTCATCTTCATCCCCCATCCTCCAACCCCCATCCTTATTCACCCTCACCAAAAGCCACACCGTCTAAAATGATATCACGAAGCTCAACACTTCTGCACTACCCTAAAAACCAAATTCTGACAAAATAAACATTTTCCCCACACTTTCAATATACTTCTAAACAACGTCTGTCCCCCCCCCCCCCGTCTCCCCCCCCCCCTATGAAGCAACATCTCACAAATCAGAAGCACTATATCGATATGTCATGTGTGGTCCATACCGAACCTTCCTCTTTTAGATTCTATTTATAAACATCTTTTTCTTATCGATTCCGCAGAATTGTGAACGTGTAAGTATGTTTTTTTTTATTTCAACCTTTGACTGTTTTAGTTTTTCAAACCCATAGCCTGACTATAGAGAACATTGTGTTTAAATCTTAATATTAAGTGTTATGTGAAAACAATTATAAATGATATTTTTAAATATTAATTCTGGGTCATAAACTCTATTACTAAGTTGTAGTTAAATTTTGTAATTTTAAATGTAAGGGAAATAATTCATGCATTATTTTGAATTTTATTTTCCTACTAATTGCCTCCCTTGTTTTTATCACAGCCATCTAAGAGAGCTGAAGCATTAAGGGTAGGTCAAAGTTCATTTAAATTCTCATTTTTTTAACCACTAAATGTTGTACAATTGGTCTTGTCATCGGTCAAGTGACGACCGTTGTTCAAAGTGATCTGTGGGGGGGGGGGGGGGGGGGGGGGGGGTGTCACAAAATGTTCATGGGGAGAGAATTGTGTGGGTTGTGGCAGTCAGAGGTGAAGCGAGCTATCCCTTTTTATTTTAGCGAGCTGTCCCATTTTTATTTTATTTTAGCGAGCTATCCCATTTTATTTTAGCGAGCTATCCCATTTTATTTTAGCGAGCTATCCCATTTTATTTTAGCGAGCTATCCCTTTTTATTTTAGCGAGCTGTCCCATTTTTATTTTATTTTAGCGAGCTATCCCATTTTATTTTAGCGAGTTATCCCTTTTTATTTTAGCGAGCTATCCCTTTTTATTTTATTTTAACAAGCTATCCCATTTTCTTTTTGCGATCTATCCCTTTTTATTTTAGCGAGCTGTCCCATTTTATTTTAGCGAGCTATCCCATTTTATTTTAGCGAGCTATCCCTTTTTATTTTAGCGAGCTGTCCCATTTTTATTTTATTTTAGCGAGCTATCCCATTTTATTTTAGCGAGCTATCCCATTTTATTTTAGCGAGCTATCCCATTTTATTTTAGCGAGCTATCCCTTTTTATTTTATTTTAACAAGCTATCCCATTTTCTTTTTGCGATCTATCCCTTTTTATTTTAGCGAGCTGTCCCATTTTATTTTAGCGAGCTATCCCATTTTATTTTAGCGAGCTATCCCTTTTTATTTTAGCGAGCTGTCCCATTTTTATTTTATTTTAGCGAGCTATCCCATTTTATTTTAGCGAGCTATCCCTTTTTATTTTAGCGAGCTATCCCTTTTTATTTTATTTTAACAAGCTATCCCATTTTCTTTTTGCGATCTATCCCTTTTTATTTTAGCGAGCTGTCCCATTTTTATTTTATTTTAGCGAGCTATCCCATTTTATTTTAGCGAGCTATCCCATTTTATTTTAGCGAGCTATCCCAATTTATTTTAGCGAGCTATCCCATTTTATTTAAGCGAGCTATTCCCATTTCATTTTAGCGAGCTATCCCATTTTCTTTTTGCGATTTATCCCATTTTTTATATTATTTTAGCGAGCTATCCCATTTTATTTTAGCGAGCTATCCCATTTTATTTTAGCGAGCTATCCCATTTTATTTTAGCGAGCTATCTCATTTTATTTTAGCGAGCTATCCCATTTTATTTTAGCGAGCTATCCCATTTTTAAAGAGGTATTCCATTTTCAATTAGCGATCTATCCCATTTTATTTTAGCGAGCTATCCCGTTTTATTTTTGCGTGCTATCCCATTTTATTTTAGCGAGCTATCCCTTTTTATTTTAGCGAGCTATCCCGTTTTATTTTTGCGTGCTATCCCATTTTACTCATCTCTATGTCTCGTCAAGTCGTTGAAAGCAATCCGCGTGCCTAATGTCGCAGTGTTCACAGTGTTCTCCCTTGAATTCCAGAGCCCTCTTGAGTCATCCGATGAGCGATATGGAAGCGACGATTTGATTGGTTTAAACGGTCGGTTCTCTCCCCTTCATGACGGGCAACTGAGCGAGATGCTTCAGCTGACAGGGCCTGTTGGCAGGGTCGGCAGGGAGCAGGAGGGTGACACTTGGTAGAAAAGGTGAGCTGTATATGGTGAGACAGGTCTCACTGTAAGGTGACACATGACTAACAGGTGATACAATACAACTAAAAAGGTGACACTAATTATAATACAGGGACACTAGAAAAGTTAATCACGACAGAGGGTGAGATAGACATCACTAACACAATGATAAACTATAAAGTGACACCCGACCAACTATAAAGTGACACACGACCAACTAGAAAGGTGACACACGAACAACTAGAAAGGTGACACACGACCAACTAGGAAGGTGACACACGACCAACTAGAAAGGTGACACCCGACCAACTAGAAAGGTGACACACGACCAGCTAGATAGGTGACACACGACCAACTAGAAAGGTGACACACGACCAATCCTTCCACAAATTTCCCTTGCAGATTGCCACAATCTTTGGGGAGCTGTATCTATGGTCTCCATGGCAACTGCTGTTGACAGGCTTAAATCCGTAACTAGGCAACCATTTTTTAAGATTCTGCTTCACAAAATAAAAATTATATCTTTTAATTTTTAACAGTTAAAATGTTCACAAGTCTGCAAATAAAATAAGAACGATTGAAATGAAATGGTGAATTATCATTAAAGAAAAACACAATAAACATGTTTCGGTCATCGCAAGATTGTTGTCTTCTATTTCCTCAAATAAACTTGATTACAGAAGTAATGTGCATTTTTTGTGTGTTCATTTGTAAGTTAGTGTGTCTCTCTGTGTGTTTGTGTGTCAGTTTGTTTAAATCTGTGTCGATGTGTTGGCTTTTGTTGGCCGTGGCGTTGTGTTCTTCATGATGGTCACAACATTAGAGCAGTTGGCCTTTGATGGCCACAACATTAGAACATGATGGCCACAACATTATAGCATGATGGTCATTGATGGCCAACATTAGATCATGATGGCCATACCATTAGAGCAGATAGCCATTAACGGCCACAACATGAGATCGTGATGGCAACAACATTAGAGCATGATGGCCATTGATGGCCACAACATTAGAGCATGATGGCCATTGATGGCCACAACATTAGAGCATGATGGCCATTGATGGCCACAACATTAGAGCATGATGGCCATTGATGGCCACAACATTAGAGCATGTTGGCCATTGATGGCCACAACATTAGAGCATGATGGCCATACCATTAGAGCAGATGGCCATTAACGGCCACAACATGAGATCGTGATGCCCACAACATTAGAGCATGATGGTCACAACATTGGGGTCGTCCAAAAATGACGTCACACTCGTAGGGGGGCCGGGGGCCATAATTTTGTGACGGTGTGGGGGAGGGGGGGTCAGATGGTGCGACGTCACACTTTTGCATTTTAAAAAAGCAATGTTAGAAAACGGTTTCAATAAATTGTAACAGGAATTGATTAAAATACTCTATTTTGACAAAATTCAGACAAGATTTTGGAAAAATATCGATGTTTTAAAAAGTATGTATTTTCTATATAAATTATATAAATTTCATTTCGTTCGGGGGAGGGGCGGTAGAATGCCTGGAAGAAACACTGGCCACAACACAAGAGCGTGATGGCCATCAAACTTGTATTACCACGGCCACCTAGAGTGGACTTGTGATGCGATGTTTATGCATACACCAAAAGGCTTCGATGCGCAACCGGAAATGACGATGTCAAACTATATGTCGTCACGAGACGTCAGATTAATGGCGGCCTGCCAGCCAGTCGGATCTGGTTTTGTGGGCGTGTCCAGATCTACCAGGTTGACTCAGTCCCGGGGGTAGGGAAAATAGTTGAGGAAAGATTCCAACGTGGTTTTGTATGAGGGGGCGGAGAGTTTCAATGAATAAAAATCATCAAAGTGATGTGAAACCTGTGGAGGTGATCACAATCAACAATCAACAAACTAACAACGGAGTAAAGGCTTTTAAGGATGGTTTTAGTATAGTCACTGCATCCGTCCGAACTATTTAAGTGCAAGAGATGTTGTATAGATGTTTTTACATATGTTATATATATATATATATATATATATATATATATATATATATATATATATATATATATATATATATATATATATATATATATATAATCAAGCAAATATCAACTCATCAAGCAAATTTAGCGGCTAGGAATAAGGGAGATAATCTACATCTTAATCCCACTGAAAGAGCAGAGAACTCGCCTGAATCTGGTTCAACTCGCCCTGATGGATGCTGTCATTTGTCTTCCTCGAGACGGCGCGAGGTCTGATATTCAAAGCAGGCGGAGACAGGAAACTTCACTCCACTGATCTCACTCGGGGTCAGCGACCTTGTCTGACCCCCCAACAAAGGTCATCGAGGAACTAAGGACATCAGGATCGGCAACTCCTGAGGTACCCAGTTCACGAGTGGAGTTGTCTTTCCTCTGTAGCTTTTTAATGTACTCAAATAGATAGTCAAGAACGTCACATGACTAGGTAAGAGAGGGTTGGCGTAAGAAGTCAAAATAGCCATAGTTTTTTTTTATTATTTCATCTGCTCTATGTGTGTCTGATATGTGGACAAATAGTCAGAGTCACGGTATTGTAGGTGGACAAATAGCCAGAGTCACGGTATTGTAGGTGGACAAATAGCTAGAGTCACGTTATAGAGTAAAAAATGTTATTGTATAGGCAAGATTTGAAATACTAAAAACATTATTATGATTTGAGCATCATCTATCTATATATTTCTTATTTTCATAACGACTGTTTTATTTTGCGTTTGATTTCTTTTCGGTAAACATTTACACAAAACATTTTTATAATGCTATTTTTTTTTTTACACTGTGCTTAAATAATTGTCATCAGAGTCAACACCTTCCTTCATCGTTTTCCTTGTGTGCCCAAGACACATGGGGGCCTTCACAAAAAGCTCCCTCCACTTTTTGTCTATCTCCGGCAATTTTCCTGGCAGTCCCCCATGACAGTCCTGCCTCTGCCAGCTGCTTCCTGGCAGTCCCCCATGACAATCCTGCCTCTGTCAGCTGCTTCCCCGCCGTGCGCCTCCACGTCTCACTTGGCCTTCCCTGCTTCCATTTCCCTTGAGGTGTCCAGTTTAGCGCCGTTCATGCGATATCATCTGGATTTGTTCTTAAGACGTGCCCCATCCAGAGATATTTAGTTTTCAATTATCTCGAAAACTGCTTCTATTTCCATCTCGCCTAGTAGTCTATCAATACCCAGCCCACTTATTAACAAACCCCGATATTTTACACAATTCTGTGTCGGTTTGAAATCTTGTCCGTCTGTCCATCTGTCTGTTAGACCGTCTGTAGGTGCGTCTGTCCGTATGGCTAGGATATTTTGTCTGAGATAATTAATCCTGAGATAATTTGTCCTGTCACCCAATAAAGCATATTGTTATATATATATATATATATATATATATATATATATATATATATATATATATATATATATATATATATATATATATATATATATATATATATATATATATATTGATATTTATATACTAATCCGACAGTACCGAGTCCTTAGGGTGTCTGGGCATAAAATCCTTTGACAGGTGAACTCTGCATCAACTGCCTAAAGCCCGTCATGTTCCCCCACTGATTTACAAAATGTACAAAATTTTACCTGGAATTTATCTTACTTTGTGTATATTTTATTTATTTTACATGTTCATATTTTAAACATTCTTGATTTGCCATTGCAATATATCTAGATAACTTTGATGTTGTCGTTTTGTTTCAGCTAATAACGGCTTGCCTTGAGCCAATGGAAACTTTAATGAAAGAATCCCACTTTTTGCCTAGAAATATTTTTCTTTTATTTGAATGGTTACTTGTTACCTTTGAGTGGGTGAGGACTAAAATAGTTTTATAATAAACTAGCCGTCCCGGCCAGGCCCTGCTCTGGCTTCTGTGAAAAACCTTTCTGTTAAAGACCATTACCTGTGTGTTTAGTAATCATCATAAACCCGGCATTGCTCACCCAAACCACGACCAACCAAAACCAAAACAACAAAACGCAAACATAACGCTAACACAATTACAAATACAAACGAAAACAAAAACCTAGCAACAAACCCAACCACAACCACAAACACCAATACAAACACAAAGAAAAAACAAACAAAAAAGCAAACGAAAACAAAAACCTAACAACAAACCCAACCACAAACACCAATACCAACAAAAAAAAAAAAAAAAAAAAACGAAAAAGCAAACGAAAACAAACCAAATCCAAACGCAAAACCAACCAAAAACACAAATACAAACCCAAACAAAAAAACACAAACAAAAACGAAAAAAGAAAGAACGAAAACAAACCAAATCCAAACGCAAAACCAACCAAAAACACAAATACAAACCCAAACAACAAAAAAACACAAACAAAAACGAAAAAAGAAAGAACAAAAACGAACCAAATCAAAACGCAACCACTAACGCAAACCCACCTAAACACAAAGAAAACACTAACGCGAACATAAACGCCCGGGGCAGAATCGCCTGTTTTAGCTTAATAAACGACTATAGTACCCCAACGTATTCATAGTTTTTGCACTCACTTAAACGAACGCGCCTGTTTCAATTTAATGAACAATTATAATACTCCAAGCTTATCCGTAAAATACCTACAACATTTGCACTTGATCAATTCCCGCTAATTATGTAATTATTTTTTTCCCAACACCAAAACAAAGTAATTAAAAAGTAAATGCTTTTCAACTAATGCAATGGTTTTATAAAGGGAAGTAATTGTGTTTGCCTAATTTATCAAAGGGAAGTAAGCGCTATAGGACTAAAGAAAGACATAATTAGAATTTTTGTAAAAGATGATATTTTTTTTAAAACTTGTGTTTAATGAACATGCCGACAATTATTACTGTAATTTGAAAAATGAAAATGATTTCTCAACACTTTTAATAGTAATTTTTTAACTCATAAATTTAGACAAATGCGCACGATAATTGATCTAACACTTAAATCCGTAGAAATGCCAACGACAAACATATGCGTTACAGAATTGAGCTTTATATATTAGACTAGCCGTCCCGGCCAGGCCCTGCTCTGGCTTCTGTGAAAAACCTTTCTGTTAAAGACCATTACCTGTGTGTTTAGTAATCATCATAAACCCGGCATTGCCCACCCAAACCACAACCAACCAAAAACAACAAAACGCAAACATAACGCTAACACAATTACAAATAAAAACGAAAACAAAAACCTAACAACAAACCCAACCACAACCACAAACACCAATACAAACACAAAGAAAAAACAAACAAAAAAGCAAACGAAAACAAAAACCTAACAACAAACCCAACCACAAACACCAATACCAAAAAAAAAAAAAAAAAAAACAACGAAAAAGCAAACGAAAACAAACCAAATCCAAACGCAAAACCAACCAAAAACACAAATACAAACCCAAACAAAAAAACACAAACAAAAACGAAAAAAGAAAGAACAAAAACGAACCAAATCAAAACGCAACCACTAACGCAAACCCACCTAAACACAAAGAAAACACTAACGCGAACATAAACGCCCGGGGCGGAATCACCTGTTTTAGCTTAATGAACGACTATAGTACCCCAACTTATTCATAGTCTTTTGCACTCACTTAAACGAACGCGCCTGTTTCAATTTGATGAACAATTTTAATACTCCAAGCTTATCCGTAAAATACCTAAAACA